CGATGTGGGGATCAAAAGGAGCTCCTGGGTTCCGTGAAAACGCACTGTTTCAAGACTACCACGGTCTCAAAACTTTCAGACAAGCCATGGCTAGCTTCATGGAGCAGATTCGAGGAGGTAAAGCTAGATTCGATCCTGACCGCATCGTCCTCACCGCCGGAGCCACCGCAGCTAATGAGCTCCTAACTTTCATCCTAGCCGATCCTAACGACGCTCTTCTAGTCCCTACACCGTATTATCCAGGGTACGTCACACTTTATAATATATATAAAGATAGACTACTACAAAGAAATAGCTGCAACAAACTAACACCATTTAAAAGAAAATTAATTATAAATTTATAATATTTTGTCTTCGATATTTTCAAGCATTGTATTTACCAAACCGGTATTTTTTCCATTACAGTTTCGATAGAGATTTGAGATGGAGAACCGGAGTGAAAATAGTACCGATCCATTGCGACAGCTCGAACCATTTCCAGATAACCCCGGAGGCGCTCGAGTCGGCATACCAAACGGCTCGTGACGCAAACATTAGAGTCCGAGGAGTGCTCATAACCAACCCATCGAACCCATTAGGTGCGACGGTCCAAAAGAAGGTTCTTGAAGATCTCCTTGACTTCTGCGTACGCAAGAACATTCACTTGGTCTCAGACGAGATCTACTCAGGCTCGGTCTTCCATGCTTCCGAGTTCACCAGCGTTGCCGAGATCGTGGAGAATATTGATGACGTGTCAGTAAAGGAACGAGTCCACATCGTCTACAGCCTTTCCAAGGATCTTGGTCTTCCCGGTTTCCGCGTCGGGACAATATACTCCTACAATGATCATGTCGTGCGGACAGCGAGAAGGATGTCGAGCTTTACGCTTGTCTCGTCGCAGACACAACACATGTTGGCCTCCATGTTGTCGGATGTGGAGTTTACGGAGAAGTACATAAGGATAAACAGGGAAAGACTTAGGACACGGTACGAGACGATTGTGGAAGGGCTTAAGAAGGCAGGGATTGAGTGTTTGAAGGGGAACGCAGGGCTATTTTGTTGGATGAATTTGGGTTTCTTGCTCGAAAAGAAAACCAAGGAGGGCGAGCTCCAGCTTTGGGATGTGATCTTGAAAGAGCTAAAGCTGAACATATCTCCAGGATCTTCGTGCCACTGCTCGGAGTTTGGATGGTTTAGGGTTTGTTTTGCTAATATGAGTGAGAACACTTTGGAGATTGCGTTGAAGAGAATACATGAGTTCATGGACCGACGGAGGAGGTTTTGAAATGTAAAGTAAAAAAAAAGAAAAAAAAAAGTAAATTAAATCTGTTTTTTTTTTTGGATGGTTAATATGGGGGAGGGTAAATTAATTTTTTTAGGAAAGAGAAGATGATTAATCGAAAACCATTGATGGCAAATGGGTTTTCATTTGTTTCTCTTTTCTAGATATCATTGTTTGTTTTCTTGCTTTGGACCCAAAGCAAGTTAATTATTGCATGTTCATCAAGGTTGATCTGTATTACTTGATGTTGTTATAGAAGAATTATTATATAAAAAAATATTACAGCATATATATCTCTCTATTGCAAATTATCTTTATAACTAAGGAAAACAAAATTGTTAACATTGATATTAAGCTTTATGATATACCTCGAAAATATATTCTAGATAGTAGATACAAATTTGCTTCTTCTTTTTAAAAGGTCACCGATCTGTATAAATCTATGTACTATTTTGTTGACCTTTTCTAGTCCAAGTAAATTTTTTGTTGTTATTATTCTGCAAATGGGGATTAAACAAGATTATTTAAATGTGGTCATGTCATTGTTGATGTAATTTCTACATAGGTTTAGTGTTTTTATGTCGTTGGGTCTTGTTGACTTTTGGTCACTGTACAACTCTAGCAAGAAATGTGTCCATTTTATTCTCTTGGTGAGATCGATCGAACTAATGTTTACGCGTGGCTACCAATTAAGTGAAGTATCTTGCATATATATATAACGGATTATAACAATATATATATATATATATATATAGTACAACTAGTTGTATTGTTTTAGTATCTTGATAACCAAAGATATTTGATGTCAGCAAAATTCTGACTAATTTTCGATTCCTGTGACTAGAATGAAGCTAATAACAAGTATTCTTAAATCAAACATTTTGATGTTTGTTCTAGATTCATAAACAAAGACTATCAAACAATTGGTTTATTCCTAGCTATATATAGTCCCCGAGTTATTTCGTTTTCATGACCTAGCCGTCGAGGTCGTACACCACTTGGTTGGATAAAAACAAATGAATTAAGTGCAAAGACATTGGTCTCTATTAAAAAAAATATAAATAATGCAAATTTTTGTTACATGTATTGTTTTTTTTGAACAAACTATTGTTACATGTATATTTTTTTTTTTATCCGATTGTTCAGTTACTAGATTTGTTACATGTATTTAAATATACAGATTGTATATAATACTTCCAAACAGTATGTAATGTATATATATATATATTGGAATGAGTTCATATATCTATTAATTTATTGATAGTGAATGAAGAAGAAAATGGAATTGTATATTGGCATTGGTAGCTATAGTAGTAGAGGTTGCATGGAACGGCAATATATGCATTTTCTTACATCAAGCAAACAATTATACTGATACCAAATTTATTTTAAATGACTTGCTTTGAATAAATCACAAAGATTATATATAAGTGAAAATTCTAAACTTACAATTAAATTTGTAATGTTTTTCACTGCACCGAATTTTCCATATACATCCATGCATATATACTTTGACCTATATAGGTTTTTATATTATGATTCATAATAACTTTCGGTATGTCATGCACAAATAACAAACATATATGTACATACTTTGACTTATACCAGCTATATATATTATAATAATGTTATAATACTTCCACTTACAGCTAAATTAGGAGAAGTATCTGATTTGACTAATCCTTTAAAAAGAAAAACTCCTTAATTAAGCTTATTAAAATGAGGTTCGAAAGCATCAAAGAAATGTTAAGTATTAAAGACTAGTGGACTTTGCATTCATAATCCTTTTTAAATTAATCATCGATTTGACACTTATTCTCTTCACTTTGCATGCTTCGTTGATATCTTTCTACTTTAATACTTTTGACTTTAAACATTCCCATGTCTCTATCTACGTGTCTAATACAATTTCCTATACTCGACGTTGTGGGTCAAAATATATATATTTACCAAGTCATTTTGTACGTGAATACTTTTGACTTTTATTGTTCGTGTATATTATTATGCTATTCGTTGCTCGTAAAGGTCAAAAGATTCAATATTTATAATTGTCCTTCCGTGACAACTGGTACCAAAACTTCTGCGACAAGTGCAAAGATTGACTTATCAAATTTTCGTGAGACGGTTTCTTTGTTTTTTTTTTCGTCAACAACAACATGCAACCACATAAGATAATTTAATTCCAAGCAATGTCGCTTTATGGATTAACATATAATGTAGATATCTTTTTATTCATGACTAATGCTGACTAACTTGATGTATGCACACGACGATGACAAAAAAAAACAATCAAACCTTACCCACGACGACCTCTTTCAAGAATCGTAAGGCTATTTCTCTTTTGCTTTGATCTATACATAGTATTATAAATTACAAATTAACGTTACTGATAAGCCTATATGATTAAGGAAAAAAACGTTTAATCCACCCTTATGTATTATGATAGTACATTCCAAAATCGAAATGCGAAGAATAAAAACTCGCATCCACACGTGTGTCGTGGTCGTTAGGATTTTCCAACTCAGGTCCAACTTTTTGAGGGTCAAAGGTCAGAGTGAACAGCTGGAAGAATCTTAGCCGTCAGATCAGTCCCTACCACACACGCGGATCACGATGACAGGCTGGTGCCTAAAAATCATTGGCCAAATCCCACGTGTGAACTAATCATCGAACGTTGCCATTAATTTTACTACATACATTGGTGGTCTCGTCTTCGTGTCGTATTACAAGCTGCTTCGTAATTATATTCATGGACTTATCTTTATAACAACCCGAAACCTATAAATCTTTATTGTTTAAACCAATACACATTATACACGTACTCATATGTATGTTACATATATATATGGACCCAAATGTACGTGGTTAGGTTAAAAGTGTATGTAACATGCATGCTTTAATTACCATATTTTTCATTTGAATAGGAACTTCCGTATTTTATATCTGCTAGTTCAATAATAATTCGTACCATCCGCAACTATGTTAAAAGTATGGATAAGGGATATATCATTTCTTTTAGTTCAAGTAATATATAATGTTTCTATACATTTTGTTACCATTATAAAATCTAAGTTTCTGATAAATGCTTGTGGTTTGTACTTTGTAGTAACTAGGATCCTTGTCGTATATCGAATCTTAATTATAATCTGTATGTGTACGTGTTAGAATTATAGACGGAAAAAAGAAAAGAAAAAACAAGTTTGCGGAAAGATAAACGTTTAGTACTTGTAAATCTTGTTTACATTAATTTATCATGTGTATTATTGCATGCGATTATTTATCTTTGGTAGATTTTAATAAGACGAAGAAAGAATATAGATATGACATCACATATAAGTGGTCTGGCCAGAGTATTATTTGATGACAATCTAGTCAGATTAAGAAAAGTACAATACTAATAGCTAACCTAATCATTAAGCAAATTAAAAATGGATCCAGTGACTCATTAATATATCTGATTAGCGTGTTTAATAATGTCGATGATATGTAATTATATAGTATGATGCTGGGGTGAGCCGTATGCTGTTGTTACTCACTTTGTACATGTATACTAGTTGCCCCATTCTTTTTTTTTTTTTTTTTTTTTTGGTCATCAGTTGCCCATTCTTTTTTCTTAAAGATTCGTCTACGTTTTATCGGCCTAAGTATATTTTGGGCTATTAAGTGATACTGAAGGCCCATACAAGGCCTGTAATATTATTATTTCACTTCGCTTTTTCTTATTATCGTAAAAAGAAAAACCTCCAAAGAAGAGAGCGAGAGGTAACAAAACTAAACCCAAAAACTCTGTTGATCCTACCTCGGCCCTCCTTCTCCGGCAACGGTGACACACCAGTTCTACAATCTCCTTAGCCGGTAAACATCAGCTAAGGTGAGAGACCTTCTAATACTTTTCTTCCCTTTTGATTCGAAGTTTTATCTCTTCTTTTTCCCTTTTTTTGGGAATTTGAGTACTAGATCTGCTTTTTCGGGTAGCTTACTGTCATGTAGCATTTGATTGAGTGTGTGCCAATGAATGATAATGTATAAAGTCTGAGTATTTTTAAATGATCTTAAACTTTTGATGACTAGGGTTTGTTTTGGTCGATAGTTTGATTTTGGAATTGGATATAAGGATGGCTGTATCCATTAGCTCGTCTTTTTGATTTGTAATCCAAATTGTGTTTTTTTAATTGGTTTAGGAAAGAGTTTTTCTTTTGAGAGATGGCATCCAAGTTGATACAACTGAAATCCAAGGCATGTGAAGCATCTAAGTTTGTGTCCAAGCATGGCACAACTTACTACAAACAGTTGCTTGAGAAGAACAAGAAGTATATCCAGGAGCCAGCCACTGTAGAGAAATGCAATGAGTTGTCTAAGCAGCTTCTCTACACTCGTCTTGCCAGGTTATTTTTTCCTTCCCTCTTTGCTCTCTTATCTAAGACAATCGGATTGCGTGGTAGTGTGATTTCTATAGCAGGGTAGAATTTGGTGTGTTCTTTTGTTGCTGTAAAAGCTAAGTGTTGGCTTAGTTTTTGGTTTATTTTCCATGACTGCTATGGTCGTGGCTTGTTCTCTGTTAGGTTTGCTGAGAAATCAAAGGATAATGGAACTATACTCTCTAGGTCTGAACCATGAATTGCTTTGCCAATCTATGGTGTCTGCTTTGCTGCATCTTAATTAGATACCAAACATTTACCTGCTTATAGAGTTGTGTTGGTGTATATTTTCCTATCAGAATAGTCTTTTCATTGTTTCTAGATAAATTATTCAGAACTACTTTGTTGCTGTGACTGACTTATTTAAGTGGATCGCAGCATTCCTGGGCGTTCAGAGTCATTTTGGAAGGAAGTCGATCACGTGAAAGGCTTATGGAAGAATCGAGCAGATTTGAAGGTTGAAGATGCTGGAATTGCAGCACTTTTTGGACTGGAATGCTTTGCTTGGTACTGTGCAGGAGAGATTGTAGGAAGGGGCTTCACTTTCACAGGCTACTACCCTTGAAGAAACAAAGCAACCCTCCATAAACAAAAAAAAAACAAAAAACCCTGAGTTCCTAAATTTATCTCACGGCTGTCATTAGTAGCAAAAATAATTTATTTTTCTCTTGATAATTAATACACAAAAAACAAGTTTTGAAGCTGAGGCATCATCACTCATGGACCATGAGTCATGGTAGCTCTAATAATATTAGTCGACTATAACATGTTGGCTTTTGGGGTTTGTTTTTCAGTTTTTAAAAATGATGTGAATGCCCATTGTTCTTGCTCGCATTAAACAAATTATCATGGAATTTTTTTTTCAGATGGGGTTGGACTCTTTGGTAAGATGTCTCCTTCGTGAACATCAGCACTCAGTCATACTTACTAGAGAAGTATAAAACGACATCATGCATGGATTCTTCTTGATATCACATACAAGGAAGATAATCCAATATTGACAGTTGTCATTGCTAAAATTTTCTATCAAATTTATCTTTCACGATTTCGTATAAAAGCAAGTCTTATATGTGTAGAAGAAGCATCACTCGATATTGTAGCGGAAGATCGCAATCGGGTACTCTCTCGACCGGTACTCACTATAAGTCTTCTTTATGTAACTTTTTTTTTTGTTCGTTAATTGGCTGGCGTGATCCTTTATTGAAATCGTGAGTTTTGTTGTTCTTTTCTGTATGAGTATTTGGATCGTGAATCTAGCCTTAAGAAGTCAACGGTTCTGCTATATCAATTGGTTTTTGAAGAATTTAGTTCTAAGAAACAAGCAACTGGATTTGATAACATCTTAATCAAAGGCATAACTCATATCAAAGATCTCTTTGTGCTTTTTTACCTGTTTCTCTCTTTAAGGCTTTTCCTTGAAAACTAGAAAGATTTTGATTTCCACAAATCCTGAACTAGTAAAGAATTCTTATTCTCTGCATGATGTCTAAAAGATGGCCTGGTTATTAAATTATTCCTTAATCCTTGAGCAGATACTTGAGTGTCTTTTGGAAGGAGACTGTGATTTACGATGGCTAAGGATGAAGCCAAGGGATTGTTGAAGAGTGAAGAGCTCTATAAAGTGTTTGCCCCTACACACTTCATTTTTTTCACCTTTCTCCATTTGACTTTACAGTTCTCTGATATATGTCTTTCAACAATGTTTACAGTATATACTGGAGACCAGTGTGTACCCACGAGAGCCAGCACCTCTCAAGGAGCTTCGGAACATTACTCATAACCACCCTCAAGCTGGTATGGCTACTGCTCCTGATGCTGGCCAGTTGATGGAGATGTTGCTGAATCTTGTAAATGCAAGAAAGACGATTGAGGTTGGGGTTTTCACTGGATACTCTCTTCTCCTCACTGCTCTTACATTACCGGAAGATGGCAAGGTATGTATATATACAAACCAAAAGAAACAAAAAAATGTCAGGAGCTTTACCTTTGTTCTGCTTCTGTATCGTTTATCCAATTGATTTGGTAGATGCACTCTGCAGGTTATAGCCATTGACATGAGTAGAGACTCGTATGAAATAGGACTGCCAGTTATAAAGAAAGCTGGTGTTGAGCACAAAATTGATTTCAGAGAGTCTGAAGCTCTTCCAGCTCTTGACGAGCTTTTAAACGATGTAAAACTCCATACTTCTTTCTTTGACTCTCTCAAAAGAGAATTAGTATGTATCCTGAGATGATCTTTGTGTTTTGATGCAGAAAGCGAACGAGGGTGGATTCGATTTTGCATTTGTGGATGCAGACAAGGTGAATTATTGGAACTACCATGAGAGGCTTATGAGACTGATCAAGGTTGGTGGGATAATAGTGTATGACAACACTCTGTGGGGAGGATCAGTTGCTGAACCGGACTCCATCACCCCCGAATGGAGGAAAGAAGTGAAGAAAACAACCCTTGAGCTTAACAAGAAACTCTCGGCTGATGAGCGTGTGCAGATCTCGCATGCTGCACTTGGCGATGGTATCACTATTTGCAGGAGATTATATTGAGCTATTTGTGGTGCTACGGTGTTGTGTTATTTATGATCATTTGGGTCCTGTGATTGTGGAACTTTTATATTGAGATATTGTGATGCTAGAGTGTTGTTCTTTGGGACCTTTTGGGGTCGTACTGAGCCTTTGAGCTATTGTGATCTTTTGGGTCTTGTGTATGTGAACCTTTTAATCAGTTTGTGGATTTCTTCAAATACCAAGGGTAACCTGTTACCAAGAACGTTTTATGTTTGAGTCTTTTGGCAAAACCCAAAGTTGAGATGAACGTTTTATGTTTGAGTCTTTTGGCAAAACCCAAAGCTGAGATGAAAATGTTTATAAGTTGAAAAACAATGGGGCGTTCCGAGAATCGAACTCGGGACCTCTCGCACCCAAAGCGAGAATCATACCACTAGACCAAACGCCCACATTGGCTAACATGTTGTTTGATACTATAAATTCCAAAACAACAAATTATAAGTTGTTTTTTTCTTTCGAGTTCAGAAACACTCAATTGGGCCATAAAAAGACAGGTCTAATAAAGTAAAAAGCCCATAAAATCGACTAGGGTTAGTTCTTCTTCCTTTTGAGCGCCACATATAAGCATACACTCCTCCGCCACCACCGGCTCTGTATTATCGGCGTTCCTAGAGAGACGAAGGTACTCTTCCCTTTCTGTATCTTTACCTCCGTTTTAAAATTCAATATCGTCGTATATTTTCCTTTTGTTGGAAAGCAAGTGAAGTGAGCTAATCGGCTTAGTATCAGAAATCGAAATTAAACAGATTTGGATTTTGATATTGGCAGGAACATATAGAGACATAAAATGTCGGAAAAGAAGGGAAGGAAAGAGGAGGTGGTGACCAGAGAGTACACCATCAACCTTCACAGACGCCTTCATAGCTGGTAACTTCCAAAAACAAACACTTTTGGTCTTTTGATTCGAAGGTTTAGCTGTTAGATGTTGGAATCAAATGCGTTTGCAGTTGGAATTGTCTGATATCGTTAGTTGAAATTGAATATTGTCTTAATCAAGGAGATTAGGATAGTCGAAATTGAATATTGTGCACTCAGCTCTTATTTGCCCTTGAAATGGACCTTGAAAAGTTTGAGCTTGTGTGTGTAAAACAGTACCTTCAAGAAGAAGGCTCCAAATGCGATCAAGGAGATTAGGAAGTTTGCCGAGAAGGCAATGGGTACTAAGGATGTGAGAGTAGATGTCAAATTGAACAAGCAGATTTGGAGCAAAGGTATCAGAGGTCCTCCTAGAAGGATCAGAGTCCGAGTTGCCCGTAAGAGAAACGATGACGAAGATGCAAAGGAAGAGTTCTTCTCTCTCGTCACTGTCGCTGAAATTCCTGCTGAAGGACTCTCTGGCCTTGGCACTAAGGTCATTGACGAAGAGGATTGAACAATTTTGTAAAACCTACCTATCAGATTTTTTAAATTTTGTTTTCCGAATCAGTTATTGAAGAGAACTTTTTCTACATCTTGAATCCTTATCCAGCAAGACATAATCTTACTCTTGTGTCCGGATTTCAATTTTACTATTTCGCATAGTATACTAGTAGACCATCCTTACATTTGTTTCGGCATAGTTTGACCCCCTTGTTCGATAATGATCGCATCTGCATCCGTTAGTCAAGTACGCACCAATTGGAACTGAATTGTTCGATTCGTTAGACAATTTTTTACATGTGTGACCTGGAATCTGGTTTGAGTTAATCATGAGTCTTTCTTTATACAAAGTGGATCTTATTGCTGTTCATGCAGAACTTGAAAGTTTTGATTCTATTTACAAACAAATGAAGAATGCTCTTTAGGGGATGACAGAGTCAAAACTCAAAACTTGCACTCTTGGCTTGCTATGACAGACTTACTCTGAAGAATACTGGGATGACATTTTATTACCTTGCTTTGTATGCATACATATAGTTCCTAAGTTTTTTCACTTCTTCAGATGATTCCTCTAGTAGATGGTCCACATATAGACAAGTTCCAGCTCCACTGCAATTTCAAAGTACAGTGAGTTGAACAAACGTTAATATCACTTACATATACACACATGGCTATATCTAAGTGAGAGATGCGCATACCAAAGAGGTCCAAACGGAAGCCATATAGCATCCCACCGGAACTTTGGAAGCCTAGAACACAAGTGAAAACAGATCAGCACAATTACACAGATAGCATATGTATCCCCGTTCCAGAAGGAGCTATACATTACTACATTATAACTGATTGCACTCTAGCTTCTCTTGATCTAGTAGTAGTAGTTATGAAGGTTTGCTACGTCTGAGGTGGTATCGAAAGTAATGAAATTTATACTCTAATCTCTAGTGTACCTCAGCAAGTAGTAAAGCCAAAAGATGGTCAATGCAGATCCAACAACACATGAGTACCAGAACCATCTTCTATGATCATTCTTCTTATCTCGTAGACCGACAATGGAGAGGGAGCAAGCCATAATAGCGATCCACTCTGATCCAAAATCCAATGATAAAAGTTTTATTGTTGTAAGAATCAAACATGCAAGAACTTTTTATAAAAATAATTAAAGATCAAGCAGCAACGCCTTCTGACTGTTTTAAACTTTCAGTATTGCTATAAATGGTTTCTAATAATTATACTAGCAGAGACGAAGTTTTTATTCCTAGGTCATAAACACTGATAATGCAGTCAATCTTTCTCGTTCTACACTATTCCACCAATAGATATGCTCTCTTATGAAAATACTTGGGAACTACAGCCAGAGAATGACAGCAAGTGTTCATTATATTAATATGCATCTAACAACTAACATTACTCCCTCTTTCCCATATTGGTACAAGATATTACACAGAAATTTCCAGACAAGCTCGGTATTGGCTGTACCACCATGTCAAACGATGAGTCAAATCTAGTAAACCATGACTACAGAGTAAAAACGCATAGATGTAAGACAAACCAGCTAAAATGACCATCCATGACTTGAGATCTTCCATGAAATAGGCATGATACCGCTGCAGAGAAAACAATAGCATCACTTAAGAAGAACTCATGAAATGTAGACACTACAATAACTTATACAAAGAGACACTTGTATAGTGCATCATTCAAAGGTTGAAAGTGTATCCAATTCAGTAAAATATTAGCTCTCCTCAGGCAACAAATTGAAAGCTCTAAATCCAAAACCTATCATCAAAACAACACTCAGTTTTGACTGAATTTTTAAGTTTTGATCAAACTCCGCTTATTCAGATCACAGCTTTCGCTGCAACTAAGATAAGTGATCTGATCTGAATTTCAATTATGGATTCAATTCAATTATGAACGAACAAGGCCACACTTCGGAAGAGATTATCATACCAATTCCCATGGAGAAATGAACTGCTGGAAAATGGAGTAGAAAAGGAAAGCTCCATAACAGATCAGAAGAATCACGAACACACTCTACACAAAAGAGAAATACAAACTTCTTTTAGAAACAGAAGTCGATCCTCAAAATTTCCCAAGAAATTAGATAATATTCTCTGATCTTACCCTCCATTGCCGACTTTGCTGAGCATGAGCTTCCTCGAGCGACCGAACGTACTCCTCTTGCTCTGTAAAACGATGAAGACAATAACGAGAAAGAGTTAGTACGAGCTCGTTATTTACGAATCTGCCGAAAATTTCAGAGGATAGAGAGAAGCAAAACCTTGCGTATCGATAGGCCGAGAATCGACGTCGTCAGAAGTAGGAAGTAGGAACTTATCATCATCTTCTTCGCGACGAGTTCTCCGCCATTTTCTCGCTAACTTCTTCATTTGATTTTTCTTTCTTCAGATTGCAAACAAAGAAAACTCGGAGAAAATGGAAACCTTCAATAAGATTTTAGTAGAGAGAGTCTTCTTCTCCGTAGCCACCATTGCAACGAAAGTGTCTATAGTCAAAAAAGCCTTTTTAATTCACGGTCTACTTAACAGCCCAGCCCATATTATTATTCGTCGGTCCATTTCTTGAGCCCAACATGGCAATATATCCTTTTATACGCCTAAGATAAAGCAATTAATAACAGTTGCCATTGCACTAACCAGAACAATTTACACAAAATATTCATAACGAATCATTTCGATAAGGAAATATATGCCATATACATAGAAAAATTAATACACTGATTTAATACAAATACGCAAATATGTAAGATGAATTATCCTCATTTCCATATGTTATCACAATTTAAGATTCATTTTTCTATATCCTCTCTGAAACGTTATCAAACAATGAGAATTTCCAATATTCTGTGATGAAATCTATAATTAATTCTCTCCATTCGCATTTAATTCTCCCTCTCTCTCTTGCTCCCCTTATATAATAAGCTCGTTTCTCCTGTCTCCCATTCAATTACAATCGCAACCAAAAGAAACAGTTCATATCTTATAAAGAAACTCTAATCTTCTTTTTGTTTATTGTTTGAGATGGCCCAAATGAAAATGAACGCCGACAAGATGATCGACGCTGACGTGAAGGTGAGCTCTGACGGTGGGAAAAGGGCTTACGTCACTTTCCTTGCCGGAAACAAAGACTACTGGATGGGTGTGGTTGGTCTAGCCAAAGGACTTCGTAAGGTGAAATCTGCATATCCTCTTGTGGTGGCGACTCTTCCGGACGTGCCTGAGGAACACCGTCAGATCCTGGTGGCTCAGGGATGCATCATCCGTGACATCGAACCGGTCTATCCCCCGGAAAACGAAACCGGTTACTCCATGGCGTATTACGTTATCAACTACTCCAAGCTTCGTATTTGGGAGGTAAAGAACTCTTACTATATATTTTTAGTTATAATATGACCGTATCAGTTTTTGTTTTGCTATATATGCATTATTAACGACTTATTCAAAACGTATATATGCAGTTTGTGGAGTATGAGAAGATGATTTATCTAGATGGAGACATACAAGTGTTCAGTAACATCGATCATTTGTTTGATACTCCTCGTGGCTACTTGTACGCTGTCAAAGATTGTTTTTGCGAGGTGTCTTGGTCCAAAACTCCTCAATATAAAATCGGTTACTGCCAACAATCGCCTGAAAAGGTGACGTGGCCTGTTGAAAGCCTTGGTTCACCACCGCCGGTATATTTCAACGCTGGTATGTTGGTTTTTGAACCAAACCTCCTCACTTATGAGGATCTCCTTCGTGTTGTTCAAATCACAACTCCTACTTATTTTGCTGAACAGGTTGGGTTTTTTTTTTTTTTCATTATTTGATATGAGTTTTATTTTCTTTATTAGTATACGACTAATGTTATTTTTTATTTTCTTATAGGATTTTCTGAATATGTATTTCAGAGACATTTACAAGCCAATCCCTTCGACCTATAACCTCGTCATGGCTATGCTTTGGCGTCATCCTGAACACGTTGATCTTGACCAAATCAGTGTTGTTCATTATTGTGCTAATGTATATTTTATTTCCTTCTAAATTTTTTTCTCTTTATTTATATAATCTAGAGATATATATTCCTAGTTACTAAAGTTTATATTTCTATTCAAATTTTATAGGGCTCGAAGCCTTGGAGATACAATAAGGATGAAGAACATATGGATCGGGAAGACATAAAAATTTTGGTGAAAAAATGGTGGGAGATTTACGAAGATTCAAGTTTAGACTACAAGATCTTCGTCGAGACTGAGTCTAAGATGAATGCGAGCACTGCGCCATTGACTTTCAAGGAATCTGTTTGTGATGTCCTTACGAGCCTTGCCCCTTCTGCCGCATAACCTATCCTTTTAGGTGGACGCTTTATCTATGCAACCTTTTTTGGTGTGTCTTTTTTCTTAATGCTGAAAGGTTTGGCTATATATATAAATTTATCATAATTATATATAGCAACCTTCTTTTAGTTTTATGTTTGTGAGATTAGAGTCGTTGGTCGAATGTTTTTGTTTGACTATTTTGTCAATGTCGAACTTGACCACCCTTTATCTCTTTTTTTTTTTTTTAAATTTATAATAATCAATAATAAGAATCCTCTTTCTTTTTTTTTTTTCTTCTTTTGCCAAACAACATATATGATAATTGATTCTGCAGCTCAGTTGTGTGCATATATATATATATATACATACTACTAATGGGAAAAATAATTGGATTTTAGACAATCTGAACTTTTAGTATATCAAATATATCAGATATATAACTGACAATATATACTGATTTTGACCTTATTCAAATATTTGGGATAGTAAGATTTGCTACGCACTACAAAACATTTGTTTTTGAGCAATCTATGACTTACCAAACTATAATGAACAATACTTTTGTTTTATTTTTCTTATGATCATTACTTAAATACAATAATATGTAACTACTAATGGACTTAGGAAGTTAATGATAAATTAATAAGGGAAGTAAATAATAAAACATATTTTGAAGTTTTTGCTTTTAAACAAAAATCTAGTCGTCTTCATTTTTCGTGAAATAAAAGAGTACATTTTGCTTTTAACAAATTTTAGTCAATTCTTAGTCTAGTAAAGTATAAATTGTAAAACTATGACACATTCGAAACAAAAAATTTGATAACAATGAGAGTTATGTTTGCTTATGTTTTGCTTATATTTTACTTATTTTTACTTAATCTAGTGTTGTTAGTTAAAACTGAGTAGTATCTGATCTAATATATTCAAGGTTGGGGTTTTGTCTAGCTAGTTGTGAATCAGAATTTATCACACATTAAAATAAGTTATTGGATTTTCAGATCTTGGGAAGGTTATGACTCTTCCACAATTCGGAGGACTTCCTCAATGGGCTGTTGTTGGTAATTCACTTTACATTTTTTCATTACTATATTTTCGTTAATATTTTTAATAAATGATGCAAATTTTATGTCATAATAATTGTTTCCGTTTTCTCTCGCAAAAATTTGCAGGTGACACATTCCCTGTTGGGTGTGCGTTTGATGAATCTAACGTACACCACAAGGTACATATATATTGTTAATAGAGCTTTATGATTTATTTTATTTTATAAATTTATACATAAGCACGAAGATATAAAGACTAAAATTTAATCTATATTGACTACTTGATTTTGGTGGTGCAGTATTTTCTGGAAAACCCTGATTTTCACAACAAGGCCTACAACACCAAAACTGGGATTTACAGTCAAGGATGTGGACTAAACAACGTCATGATGTCATGGGGTCATGACGACTACATGTACATGGTATAATTTAATGGAATCATCCCTTAACTTTCATTTTAAGATGACGAACACTATTTTAACTTTTAAGATAATTCAGTCTAATCAAAGTAGTAAGTACACCCGTTATATCTATTAAAAAAAAAAAAAAAAAAAAAAAAAACACCCGCTGTAGAAAGAACAAAAAAGGTTCAATCAAATTTTAATATAATGTCTAGTGATGTTATAATAGTTAACTGTACAATCCCAGGTGGCTAAAGAGAATGGAAGCACTTTGCCGTCCGCAGGACAATTTATCATACGATACCATTCCTTTTACCGTAAGCACTAAAAACAATAATATATACGTACGATTATGTAAACATTTACATTAATAGTTCAAAGTAAAGCTTATTTCAAACTGAACTTAATTATCTGTAGCATTGCACACGGCTGGAGAATACGCCCATCTTATGAACGAGGAAGACAAGGAGAACCTCAAGTGGCTGCACGTTTTCAAGTAAATTTTTATATAGAAAACATGATTAACTGGCTGAGTCTTAATCCTAATAAGTACAGCCTCTAAATCGCTACATGTGTTTGTGTTGCTTTTACAGCAAGTACAACCTTCATAGCAAAAGCAAGGTTCAGATTAATATTGAGAAAGTGAAGCCTTATTACATGTCTCTTATTGAGAAGGTGAGTAACTATTTTAGTTTTCTAAGAGTACATCAATATTTTATTTGAAAGTTTATAAGAACACTTTCGAGTTTGGATTCTTCCCTTTTCCATTTCACAGTATTTTCCGGAGAACTTGAGGTGGTGAGCTGTGGGCAAAAAAAATAAAGAGTACTGGCCATGCATGGAGGAGCTAGCTAGTTGTTTTATTCATTGTCGACTTAATGTGAATAGATGGTTTCACTATTTTAGTGTGTGAACTATAAATTATTGCATGCGATTTGGTATTTTGGTATTTGTATAACTGCTTGCTATTTGGTATTTTGTTATTTGTATTATTGCTTGCGACTTGTTATTTTGGTATTTGTATTATTGCTTGCAATTTGGTATTTTGGTATTTGTATTATTGCTTGCGATTTTCCTCTAGGTATACGCTCTAGTATCACATGTGATATCACATGTAAGTCTACTCTCTAGTATCTTTTGATGACAATCCAAAGCAAAATTTTGAGATTGAAATTTACCCACAAGAAATTAGGAGACCTTCATTAGAGTCTACAGAGCCACCACCATGGCACCATGTCAACTAAAAGTGGAAGTAGTCTTTTAAGTGACGGCCCATATTGTTATACACCGGTCCATAACTTGAGCACAAAAACGCGATATATGTTATACACCGGTCCATTAGTTCTTACGCTACGATATAATTGCCATATATGGCCTGATGGGATAACCATAATAATTTACACAGAAGGACTACAAAATATTCATAACGAATAATTTCGATAAGGCAATATATGCCATATACATCAAACATTTAGTACACCGATTTAATACAAATGCACAAATACGTATGATGAATTATCCTCATTTCCATATGTATCACAATTTTAGATTCATTTTTCCTTTATCCTTTCCTATTTATATATTGCGAAACAATCACTCGCACTAGACTGTTATATGAAACAATGAATTTTCAATTAACTCAACTGATAAGAAAAAGAAGCTACATAAAAACTCAACTGAGTTTGTATTTGATATAAAAACCATAAATTGCAAAAACTTTGTACACATAGTGACTTTCTTTTTGGTTTCAGTCTATTATGCAATGATTAGTCTATATATTTGATTACAACAACTAGATTCGGACCCGCGCTACAACGCGGGGGAAAATTACCGGGTTTTTAATCCTTTGTACGTTGCGGGATAATTTATTTGTGTTTGCTTTACTTTATTTTGATTATTAATTAAATTCTATCATTTTTAGATTGTATTTTTTGTGTTGGTTTCGAATATGTTTAAAATTATTTAAATTGTATGATTTTAGTTGGATTGTTAATTTTAGAACAATATGTGACATATATACATGTATAAATATTATACTATGAATCATTTTTAAAGTTTGGGGATTGACCCGCGGTACACCGCATAATCATAAATACATGATTTTAACTTGGACCTTTCATGCAGTTTTGTAGAATTGCAAATATCTAGAATAAACAAATAAAGAGCCAATGATTTCTTATTTCTTATCGTGTTAAAATGTAAAATATGTGTTTATGTTACAATTTTCTGGTAGAAGAAACTTATTTATATAGATAATATTTTCTTAGAGTTAGGTTAGCGTTGAAAAAAAGATTAGCTTTATAATCAAGCCAGAAATTCGAAACTATTGCCAAATAAATATATTAAAGATGGTTGAAAATGAATTATCCCGTAATTGGTGTGAAGATCATAGTTAATATAGGAGAAAACTATACATCTAAATATTAATATAAGATATTTAAGGAACATTTTGTTTTGAAATATTATGGATAATTTGATAAATATTTTATATTTAATTTATATTTCTGATTTTTAGGTTAATTTGTTAAACCAATATACAAAATCATACATTAATGTATTTTTCCTTAAACAAATTAAGATTAATGTACTTTCCAAAACCGATATTGATGGTTTAATTTGGTAGATTTCGAAATAATATATATGGAAACTGGTATTTAATATCTTTAAATTTTTAGTAAGATCCAATTGAAAAATTTCGGGTTAATTTTTTAAAAAAACCCGACCCAAAAAACTTTTGTACTTTTCTTTTACTATAGTAGGGATTACAATGTACCAATTTGATTATGTGAATGTAAATTTTTTGATATAAATATAAGCTATAAGTTATATTTATGTAATAATATTTTGGGGATTTATATCCTTTGTATTAAGGTTTAGATTCACAAATTACAATACATAGGGTACATATATACACATATTGTAACTGTTGTAGACATCATACATGAGATATTTTAGCTTAAAAGGTATATATATAGTTGACGTCTACGATATATTTGTAACATTGAATGTGGTGGAAAAATATAAGGTGGCGTTAAAATTAAAGAAACGTATTATTTGAAGTACATGTTGCAGATGGTGACTAGATATTTTGTCATGCATATGTGGAAAAGCAAATCGATATAATTCAGATAACGTATAAAATATAGGCCACGTAATGCTGAGTCAAAACCTATAATTATTTTTAAGATCATTTTGACTTGTACAATCTATAATTAAGCTACCACTTTTTCATACTTTTTGAGGACAAAACTCATGCATATTTAAGGTTAAGGACAACTCATTGTTATCGTTATAAAAATTGTGGCATATATTTTCCTTAATCTATACTGATTTCCCAACTATTAAATAGTATCATCTAGAGTTAGCAAATTACTAACATTTGTTTCTCTTGGCTAACTAAAGGCTTTTGAGTACAAGATATAATCTTACCGTATATACTCACTTTTTCAAAAGTAATTTCTCTGCATTTCTTGTTTATTATGTTCAGTCAACAATAACAATTTAAGAAAAGGTGTTCTTTGCACACACAAAAAAGGTGTTCAACTAAAATTCACCGGGGAAAATGAATATTTATTCTTGATTAAAAATTTAATTACAATCTATTGTGGGTCTTACTGGTCACATTAGAATTACTCATATATAAGTAAAAATAGAAATTAAAAAATCTTATCTAAATGATTCAAAACACAGTAAAAATTACAAAACGAGTCAGAAATAGAAAAAATTACACCAGAAAATCAAATCAAATCACTGACTGAATTAATATTTCCTTTTTTTTTTTTTGTGAAAAACTAACATTTCCTTTATCCTAAACTTAATTGGACGTTACTAAAAAAAAAAAACTACAAAAAAGTAGTTGTTGGTTTGGATGGATAATTATAAAAGCAATTGTTCTTGAAATACAAAAAATACATAATTCGCCAACAAGGACTTAGATTTTCTCCAAATATCAAGGAAGGAACTGTCTATCCTAATTAGACTTATCCACCCACACCACTATAAATAAAAAATAGCGTAAACTCTTCATCATCGCAGAAGTATTTTATATAATCATCCCAAGCCGTCGTCGTACGTAACCATTCTCTTTCGTTTTCGTTTCTTTCTCTTTTGTTACTAAACCGGCCGTTCTTCCAAGATGACGATCTCTGTTGAGAACCCGATTTTTGGTAAGATCATTCCCTCAATATTCTCAATAAAACTATGAATTATCTTGGATTTTAATTAAATAAAGACGTAATTATCCTGACATTATTTTCGGCTAACTCAACGATCTTCTAGGAAAAAAGTTTTCTGAAAATTAGATATGAATCTTCGAGAATATATTCTATCAATCTTTTCCGTTTTTTTCTAAAGTTCTTAAAAGTATATTTTTTTTTTTGTTTTGTTTTCCAGTTGTAGAGAAGGTTTCTGCATTCCAGAAAAAGAGTGAGGACAAGACCGGAGAGTTGAAATTGGACGGAGGATTTTTGATAGCAAACATGGCCACCGAAGACAACGAAACGTTCTTGGCACCTGAGATGAATGCATTTGGCCGTCAATTCAGGTTTCCTTTTCTTCCACGTTTCTCTATCTTTATATTCAATTTTACTAGGAAATATTTAGATTTGATCAAATCGCGATTTTTTTTTTTGGCCGGATCTTATGCATAGACCTTGACTTGATCAACAATGTACGTTACATTGATATTTTGGTCGCAGGGACTACAATGATGCTGAGAGTGAGAGGCAGAAGAGCGTCGAAGAGTTTTATAGATTACAACACATTAACCAAACTGTCGACTTTGTAAGATTCATAAAAACTCATGATCAGGGTTTATGTATTTGCTTAGTCATATATATAATCAAAACTTATGTGATCATACACGGCTACACGTACGTATATAATATTTGTATGTGTTATCTAATGTATTATTACTTTTGTGTATTATTCCAGGTGACAAAGATGAGGGCTGAATATGGAAAATTAGATAAAATGGTGATGAGCATTTGGGAATGTTGTGAGCTTCTTAACGAGGTCGTGGACGAGAGTGATCCAGATCTTGACGAGCCTCAGATTCAGCATTTGCTTCAGTCCGCAGAAGCCATCCGCAAAGATTACCCTAATGAAGATTGGCTTCATCTAACCGCTCTTATTCATGGTAAAATTGTTGTAACTTATAACCAATAGCCTTTTCTATGAAATGACTTTTTTTTTTTTAATCACGGGATCAAAAAATGAATATGTTATTAATTTAGAAACTAGAATGCACCTAGTTGAGAATCATATATATATAGGTAAGGTTACTTATGGATCATTTGGAATTTTCAGATCTTGGGAAGGTTATTACTCTTCCACAGTTCGGAGGACTTCCTCAATGGGCTGTTGTTGGTAATTCACGTTATATTTTTTCATTAATATATATCAGAATTAAATTACTCAAACTATAATTTAATTTGTATGTGACACTTTATTTTGCTCTCACAAAAAAAAACTTTCAGGTGACACATTCCCTGTTGGGTGTGCATTTGATGAATCTAACGTACACCACAAGGTAACTAATCAATACACAATCTCACAAATCGTTTGAGTCAACTTTTGAATTATGTAAAAAAAAAAATTACCTGACTTAAAATTATATTTGCCTTTCTCTTTGTGCAGTACTTTATGGAAAATCCAGATTTTCACAACAAAGCCTACAACACTAAAACTGGGATATACTCTGAAGGATGTGGATTAAACAATGTCATGATGTCATGGGGACATGACGATTACATGTACATGGTAAACTAATTGATTATCTACTTTGCATTGTTTAGAGTACTGATCTTTATTGAAGTTTGATCATTCTTGATAAGTGTAGAGGATAATATGATTTCATTAATATCTTTTCACAGGTAGCTAAAGAAAACGGAAGTACATTGCCGTCTGCGGGACAATTTATCATACGATACCATTCGTTTTACCGTAAGCATGATCTTAGTAACAATTTTAGAGTATTGTTCGCTGTGGGATATCTAATAGTAAAGCTTATTTGAACTATTTAACTGAAACATCTGCAGCATTGCACACGGCTGGAGAATACAAACATCTTATGAACGAGGAAGACAAGGAGAACCTCAAGTGGCTACACGTTTTCAAGTAACCTTTCTTAAAACATGATTAGGTGATCAATTGTTTTTTTATCCCAAGAGAAGAGAAACTCTACATTGATATATTTGTATCATTATTATTACAGCAAGTACGACTTATATAGTAAGAGCAAGGTTCACGTTGATGTGGAGAAGGTCAAGCCTTACTACATGTCTCTTATTAAGAAAGTGAGTATACACTGCATCTTCTTTCAAAAAAATTAATATGTGAATAAACAGTATAGATATTTATGAATGTGTTGACATACCATTATAAAATCTTTCTTGTCTTCTTTGTTTTACAGTATTTTCCGGAGAACTTGAGGTGGTGAAATTTTTTTGCCATGGAGGAGGATTAGTCGTTTGATTCATTTATAAATATTTACACATTGTCGAGTTAATGTGATTCTACCGGTAATTGTGTTATATATATATATATATATATATATGATCTTATGTTAATTATATTCAGGTCATCTCTGAAATGTAGTTATTACATTCATCCCTCGTTAATGCTAAAAGAGTATGTATATACGCAGGGATGGTATATAAGATCTTGAATAAATAAAATTTATTTTATAATTGAAAGTGTGCAAATTAGTTAAAGAGAGAAATTACGAATCATTGTGTTCCTTAGTCACAAAATGTAAAATAAACAATTAAAAGTTTATGAACAATGATCAAATGTAATGAATAATCATAGAGTGAAAAAGCACATAAGTTCAAATCGATTCATCCATTATGAACAAATGTAATCACTCTTATAGCTCATATTCATAATACAGAGACTTAGGAATGGAGACCTTTGCATACGTATGTGGCTTAGACTTTCTGCCAGAGTAGATTCGTAAGATCCGTAATCACATTGGTATAGATCCTTGATTTTGACATAAAATTATTAAATTTACATATGTAGAATGTAAAATTGGATGAATGGAACAAGATTTATATTTATATATATTCCGTGAGGGATCAAATCGAAAATTACAACATGAGGCATCTCTAACAAAACAGTCTTCTTTGTTATGCCAACTAAAAGGGTAAAATCCTCATAACCCCATTTATTTTACTATACTACCTAAAGACATGGGACAAGGGACATCATTTAAAAACGCCAAATAAAAAAAGCATATGTTGTAGTTCTTATATGTTCAGTGTCACTTAGTGATCTCTTTGGTGACTGGAGGAACATCGACCGTGCCATTGCAGTTGCCATCGTCCAGGAGAGCCGACATCGGCTTCTCTTTGTTATCAGCGACATCTTTTGGGCACAAGAAACTCGGCTGGTTCGTCGAAGATAGTAGCCTCGCCCACATCCTGTCTGTGATCACCACATGGTTCTGTTTCTCCGTTATTCTCTGCAACACCACAACCAATCAACTCCAAGATGATGATAATTTTATAGTGATCAAGATAATTGGCTGGCTAGCTCATTAATTTAACCATTTGATCCATATATTTTAACGGATTCCTAGCTTACATAGAAGGGGATGTAGGTTTGTCTTCCATTAACTAGACCACTGATGTAGCCAGTGTATCCAGCCATTGCACCATGCACTGCACTCTGTGCCAGAAGTGTACAATAAACATTGTCTGACGCATTGCTAGGAACAGCCCGGATCATGTATGTTGGATCTGAAAGTAAGATGAGACAAGTGCGCTAAGATTCGGAAGAAAAGTCAAAAAGTTCATGGTGGAGAGAGTGCAAGGGATGAGAATTGTACCAATGTACTTGAGGTTCATCACCATCTTCTTCTGCTTAAAATGATCCTACGAACAAGTTAAAACGACATTTAACACATGATAAGTTAAGTCTGATTTTACGATCCATCAAAGTATGAGTGGCGTTCTCTGTATTTTGTGGCTTACCTTGATGCTCTGTGACAGCCAAAGACCAACGTCTTTGAGAAGTTTATTACCAGATGCATCCTTGAGTGTCATAGATTCCATGCTCTTTGACATTTGATCTTGTCCTGCACCTTCTGCAATCACAATCACCATGTGACCGCTCTCCTTGAGCCGTTTCTCTATGTACTCAAACAATCCGCCTTCTCCTTCTAGGTAAAATGGTGACTCCGGGATCAAACAACAGTCCACATCTCTGCTTGCTAGAGTAGCATACATCGCTATGAACCCTGTTAAAGCAGTTCATGCACTTGTGAAATAATGCAATAAGAGAGCTTGAAACAATAATATCAAGAACTTGTGAAATAATATAATAAGAGAGCTTGAAAAGGCAAGAAAGATGAAGCAGAAGAGTAAAGTACTCACCGCTGTAGCGACCCATAAGTTTGACAACGCCAATACCATTCTCTATACTCTCGGCTTCCACATGTGCTGCGTTAATAGCTCGTTGAGCCTCTTCTACAGCTGTGTCAAACCCAAAAGATTTGTCAATCACCTGCACAGAACAGAAGTGAATTTCTCAATTTCTTCACATAGAAAATACAGCTTTTCTCTAATGATGAAACAGAGAAGAGAGAGCTACATACAGGTATGTCATTATCGATTGTTTTAGGGATTCCAATAACTGCAACTTTCAGTCCACGTCGCCTAATTTCCTACATAGATACCATCAAATATCAGTAAGTCTGAGATTTTACAAATTTGTAAGGTGAAAATGGATTTTACCTCAAATATAACAGATGCTCCTCGCTGTGTTCCATCTCCTCCTATAATGTAAACCTGAATGATGAAAAAGACTACATCAATAACGAGTCTTTATATACTTTTAGAAAGAGACACTTTAAATATAGGTGGTTGTTATCGAAACCTGATTGATTCCTCGATCTTGAATGCTGTCAACTATCTTTGTGGTATCATGGCCACCTCTCGAGGTCCCAAGGATAGTCCCTCCGCGCTTATGGATATCATTTACAACTTTGGAGTCCAAGGAGACAGTATTCTTAGCATAAAAGCCTCTATATCCGCCCTGAAAAAGACTCAAGGATGAGAAAATGAAACAAACAAAGACTGTTTGTTTTGGTATGAGAGAGATAACAATCACAAAAACTTACGTCTATTCCCAGTATTCTCTTCACTCCGTACATGTAAGATAGACTGCTCACTATTTCTCTAATCACGGTATTAAGGCCGGGACAAAGACCCCCACAGGTGACTATGCAAGCATGCACTTCATCAGATTCGAAGTATACCTGCAGAAAATTAAGTCAAGAACAGATCCTATTTAAATTGACTAAAGGAAAATGAAGCAGTTTGACAAAAGGGAAAACCTTTTGACGTGGCCCGGCTCGTCTAAAATGAATTCCCCTTGGTCCATCCTTATGAACAACAATCTAAAACAACAAAAAGAAGAGCCAATAAGAGAACAATTATCTCAAAATCTCAGGCTGGCATGGATATTATCGATAGCTCAAAACAAAATATATACCTTTTGAGGAACACTGTCATCAGCATCAACAAAGTACTGCCTGACATTCCAATAAGAAAAAAATCATGTAACAACTGGCAAGCTAATGATGCAATCACCATAGTCACCTAAATATCGGTGAAAGAGGACTTACTTCACCACTGAGTAAGCTGGATTGTCTTGCAATGGATTAGGGTATGTCTGCAACAACATAAAACCAAAAGAAAATTGACCATTAATTAAACTTAACCATCATTTGACTTTAAGAAAACATGGTAAATGACTAAAACTCAAAAACCATAATACAGATTTTGAGTCAAATTCATAATCCTTGGCACCCAAATACAAAAGATCCTTCCTTTTTCCATGGGCTATCTTATACTAGTCAGAATCTGGGAAATCTCAAGTTCCAAATTACAACGAAACCGTTATCAGCTGAATTTGATACACAGACATGCACAAAAATCCATCTATCTAGATAAAGTTTCAACCTTTTGCAACTGTAAAGCTCAAAACAAAAGTCTGATCAAAATAAAGAGACGGAGAAGAAACATACAGGAAGACCAGGAAGGTAATCGGAGAGATGAGGAACATCTTCTAGAACATAACCACAAGAACCATTGATGATCTTCGGTTTGCTACTCTCCACAGTACTCATTACGACACACGGAACAGAGAGAAACCACAACCTTCAGGGGAAAAGTCTAATAATTTAATTAAAAATGGAATTTATTTCTGGTTATCGTATGGAGACTTTGAACTCGTCAACGACAAATAGAATACGAAACCAAGAAGAATCTTTGATTTAAGAAAAAGAAAACAAAAAAAAATAGAAAGATTGAATCAAATCCGTAGATCAAAGGTAAGGCGACCCATTTTTATAGGATTCAGAGAATTGTTGACCATTGGAGTCGGTAAACAAATCAAATTCAAGATAGGAGAAAGAGAGAAGGAGCTGAAACCATTAAAAGGGTGGTAAGGAAATGGTGGTTTTGGTCACTGCTTTGGAGATTATTGATCAAATATGTGGCGCCGTGGTCGGGTTTTGCTGCCGCAATAACATTGGAGAACCAACAAAAAAAGAATATAAAACGTATAAAGAGTGAGTTTACACTTCTTCGCTTGGAATCTTATTTGACAGTAACTACGACGACTACGACTACGACTACGACTAGTAGTAGTACTTGGAGAGAAAGGTCTGTTGATTAAAAAAAAAAAAAAAACATTTATTTATTGACTTCTATTTTGTTACCTTTTATTGACTTTTATTTCCAACTTCTGTGACTTGTTTATCAAGACAAGGTCAAAGCCATGACTTATTGCTGTCCTAGCTTTTCCGGTTTGATTTTTCTTCATTTTTAATCTCGGTTTGATATGTTTGTGTTACTGGTGGTGTTCAATTATACATTAGCCTTTCCGTTTAATAGGCGTTTTTGATATCTTCCTTCGTAGTGCTCTTTGAATCTTTCTATGTCAATCTTGGCTCTAATATAAGATAATTAAGTACAAGTACTTCAATAAGATTGCAGGTGTATGTAGATAAAAGAGGATATGGAACAGAATCAAACTGATTTAAATTGAGTGTATTTTATAAAGTTTCATTCAACCGCAAATCTCATATGGGGTTCAAGATAAGAGAGTGAACGTTATGTTGTTTATGTGAGGCCAGAGAAAAAAATTAAGAATTAATGAATTTGACAGAAGAAACAGAGTAAAGCGTTATCCATAAGGCCACAGCTTGCACGTAAGTAATACCTATGCATTATTATCGTTTATATTCGTTATCCTTTTTTGCCTCTTACTAAACCGTATCCTCTTCTCTTATCTACAACCGTTTATGTAAATCCCCTCTCTATATATAACAGAGACCACATCTTCATCAACAAAAAACAAAAAACTATAACAGAACATAAACATCTCGACAAGAACTCTCTCTCTTCTGTTCTTATTCTTTAAGAAACCTTTTTCTTTGTGTTTTCCTTTTGGTTAAAGACTGAAAGAGCAAATCAGAAACCAAACATAGTTGACAATAGAAGAAAATAATGAATATTCACGATGGTAAGCTGATTTCGACAACAGAAGATGAAGGTGGTGTTGTTGGAGTTTCAGGATCCTCGGCTAAAGTTTGTTCATCTTCACCTTCCATCTCTACGTGTTCATCTGAATTTACAGAGGATGCTTCCTGTTCAAATGGGCCTTTTGACGATCTATCAGACCTCATCTCTCAGCTCCCTATCATGTAATCCTCTCTCCCTAATCTCGTCGTGAAAGTGTTTATGTTTCGTATTTGAAAGACCATCCATAAGTAATTATATAGATTGTAGAGGATACTTCTTGGATTGATCAATATATTGGATTAATCCTTTGCTTATTTTTTAATCTTTTTATCCATTTGTAATGGTGTCATTTGATTTGAGGATCCTTCGTATGTCAGGATCTCAGAATCACCTCATTATGCTTCTTCTCTTTGATTGATCTTATATCTTTTGACACAGAAAATACTAACAAAATGATTGATCTTATTATGTTTTTCTTTTTCATAGCCACGTCAAGAAAGGACTTTCAAAGTATTATAAAGGCAAATCTCAGTCATTCACATCTCTAGCAAACGTCACAAGCCTGAAGGATCTCGTGAAAAGAGGATCAAATATGAAGTCATCCTGCAAAAGGGATTATTTGTATGGACCAAAGTCCACAATCTCCATGAAAGCCACAAGAACATCCTCAGGCCATTCCAATTCAAGATTAACTTTAAAATCATTTCATAATTCAACAAAATCAGTTCAATGACATGACAAAACAACCTTCTGGGTTCAGTTTAACTTTGTATACATGTTGCCCAAACTAAATGAGAAAAGTGAGGATTTAGGGCTGAAGAACACCTTTTCACTAATTCTGCAGAAAATTGTCCAAACGGATTAAAACCCTTTCATCGTTTGAGTCGTTTAAATTGTGTGACATGATGCATCAAATCTTGTAAACAGGGGTGATTCCAAGAAGGTGGAAGCATTTCCGCATGACTATGGCTGTTGCTTCACAGAGTAAGAGACGACTCGTCTCCTCAGGTGAACCATTGACCTGTAAAAATTCATGTGTCGAGTGAGACCATTGCCTGGTGGTTGATTATGCAGCTATACAGTCCAATATCAACATATCAAACAGAAACGTAGAATGTTGGGAATGCACACCTGACAATTGGAATAGAATCTGGTGTAATGGTCAGATAAACTATAGAGGTACTCGCATAGTACGCTTGGTAACAAGTTGGTGCAAGCTTCCTCAACCGTCTGCAAATCGTTCACACATGGGTTGTGCTATTGTTAATCATGTTACCAGGAAAAGGAAGTCAAATATGAAAGTGGTATCTAATGAGAATGTGTTTACCTCAGCAAATCGAAGCAAATGAAGCCCCAGTGCTCGCTCATCTGGATGATCCAATGCTAGCTTTCCTGTCTGCAATGACGCAGATATTGAAACATAAGAATTACTTTTTTTCGTATTGCGTAGGGTAGGAACTAATAATGGTCTACGTAGGTGTACGCTGATCCATTTATTATGAAAATGTAAAGATCGCACACACCCAAGAAAAAAAAAAAGACAAGCAAACCCCCAAAAAAGGCTCAGATTTAATCTTGAGACTCTCAGATTTAATAGTTCACTATAGACACTGGCATGGAGTTAACAGTTATGACGTTTCTGGTAGTTTAAGCTTTCAATTAATAGATTTTAATGCAGCACTTCCTTACTAGAGACAATGGTTCAGGTGCAGCCAAGAAGAACAAAAATAAAATTCAAGAGGAACAAAGAATAAAGCTCAAAAGTGATTTATGTTCAGGCGGCTAAAATACCTTTTTCAGCTCTTCTATATCTTTGCCAGACTTTCTGATGATTGAACAGATCCGAGCATGGGCGTAAAGAAGGTAAACAGCTGTATTTCCCTGCTCATGACATTTAATCAATAAGCATGTGTAGGTGATAGCTATGCAAATATGTAAACTAGATGGCAAATTCCAGTACCTTATCATTAAGCATTTGATCAAAGCTGAAAGTATAATTTGTCAATCTGTTGTTCTTCAGGTCAGCATACCTTGATAGAAAATTAAACAAAACCGCAAGTTAGCTTGTAGCATGAAAATATATAAAATCCCAACTGTCCAGACATCTTGAGAACACTCATCATATATGTGCAGTTTTGATTACAAAATGTCACCAAAAGCCAGAAGATACTGACAGAATTTACTATCACCAGCAGTAGCAGAGAGATGGTACTTACTTCACGGCACCATAGCCAATTGCCTCAGCTGTTTGGTCCAGCTCCTCGGGTGTCCATTCTTTGTCCTTACCTAAACAGAGAAACAACATATAAGGGATGGATAAACCAAATAATATAACTGAACAAGTGAATGATTGAACAATTCAAAACGTGGAGAATGCTGACATAAAGTAGGTACCATGCTCAACAAGGGCAATTTTACTGCGAGTCTTGGCCTCATCTAGCAAATCAACTAGGCGGACTACGTCTGTTGCCCGAGTTCTAAATCGCTTGCCATCTTCCCCAAGGACGAGACCGAAACCAACATGGTTAACTCTAGGGTAAGTTTTATCATTTTCTGGAAGCCAACCTGCTTTTCTAGCAGCCTGATTCAGAGTAACATGAAAATCAAAGTTACGACTGACAGTTTCAATCAAGAAATAACATTTCACAAGACGTCAAAACAATAAAACATTGATCAAACCTACTTTGAAGAACATATTAAAGTGCTGCTGCTGGCCAACATCGGTCACATATATAATCCACTCAGCTTTCTCTTCATTGAGCCGGTACCTGGGCCAAGCAGAATTTAGCAACAGCAGAAAATTCATTGAACATATGCAAGTTCAGATCAAGCCATACACTTCAGCAAATACAGACATGAAAAGTCTTAGTATATGAAATGTAGTTTCATACGATCACAACTAAAATTTGAATTTCATGGAATAATTAATTTAAAGATAACCCACCAAAGAGCAGTAAGATCTGTAGAGGCATAGTTAAAACCACCATCACTCTTTACAACCATGAGTGGGATGTTAAATCCTTCGAGGAAAATGACACGAGCACCTTCGCTTTCTTCAACCAACCCCTTGGTATTCAACTCTTCAATTACTTTAGGAATATGAGGGTTGTAAAAGCTTTCTCCCTGTCACGAATGAATGCATTGTATATTTCATCACCCACCAATGTATCTCTTTTTCCATATTATCTCAAATAGCATAGTATAGTTCCAGCTATATATTTACCTTTTCTTCAAGCTCAACTCGAAGGCGTTGATAAACCTTGGCAAACTCAGTTCGGCTGATTTCACAAATCTTAGCCCAAGCCTTACGGTAAACAGGATCTCCACCCTGCACCAAAGAAACAAAAAAAGATAGACAAGTGGGTAGTTTAGAACTTGCAACGAAAGGCAGCTGCGAAGAGACACTGCAAAGAAAGAAAAATACACTAATGATGTAAGTTAGGAAAACTGCTGTTTACCTGAAGACGGACCACAGCCTGTTGTGCTTTTTCCTTAAATTCCTCATCCAGATCAAATTTATGTTTTGATGCCTTGTAGAACACCTATCAAACAACATCCGAGGTTAGAAACTAAAGCAATTCGGTTCTTCACGCAGAGCATATTATGCTAACATTGCTACATAAAAACTGTAAAGCTTGTAAGGCCATAATAATAACAGTAAAGCTTGAGAGGCCAGATGATGTAAGGCAGCTGACCTGAAGATCTCCAATTGCTGTCTCAGTCACACTATCTGTATCAGGAAATTTCTCAAAGAGGTACTCAATTAGCATGCCAAACTGCAAAATAAAGAAGCTTTTTAATCTTTGATAAATATTAGGATACAGAAACTTAAGATAAAAAATCAAGGTTCATAAAATCATTTGAAGAGCAGAAAAGTAGTTACCTGTGTTCCCCAGTCACCAACATGGTTTCTGCGTAGAACTTCAACCTTTGAGTACTCGAGCATTCGAGCTATTGTGTCACCGATGATAGTTGATCTTAGATGACCAACATGCATTTCTTTTGCAATGTTGGGAGAGGAAAAATCAACTACAGCTCTCTTAACCGAAAGAGTAGGTGCCCATGTGTCAACTCCATCGATAAGCATATTTTCAATACTCTGCGGGTAGATTAGAAAAAAATTATGCTAAACATACATTATTTATACGAACACTAGAAAATGACTTAACTAAATACAACGAACGCACCTTAGCCATCCACTTAGGTGATAGTATAACATTAATAAATCCAGGTCCAGCTACAGAGCATGATTCCACCATCTCAGAAGTAGGGAGACTCTTAACGAGGGCCTATGTGAAAAAGGGAAAAGAATAAGAGTTATATGAAAACCAAACTCAGATTAGAATCAGCTTCACAACATACAGTATACAAAAAGCCACGAAATTCTATAGATCAAACCAACCTGTCCAACAGCTGGAGGACCCTTGAACGGAGTACCCTTTCCTTTAATTATGGACCATAGACCCATTGCATTGTTACTGCAGAAAACCATATGATGAAAGAATCTAATTCAACAAACCGTAGAGAACTTATTTGGACCTTTAATTTCATAATACTAAGTGGGAAGAGAGATCACCATTGGTAATCTCCAAATTTTCCAGCATCGGAGGCAGCCACCAAAGGCTCAACACTAGGTTCATCAGGAACTGTTAATTTTAGAGCCACATCAAACAGCTTTGCGAGTTGGCGTTTTAGATTTCCCGTACATTCCTCATTCTGTCATTAGCACTCAAAAAATTAGTCATGAAACAGGGAAAGAAGCATGTTACAATTTAAACTTTCTCATAGATTTTTCAAAAAAAAAAAATGGTGACTTACAGCAGCCATGGTTGCCACGGACTTAGCTCTGGTAGCGAAAGCAAATCTCCAAGCCGTTGCTCTCAATTTTTCTGTCTAGGTTACAAAACCACATAGGGAAATCAGTACATGCAAAAAGCAAGAAAACAATGAAACTTAGATCGAAATTGCTACTCTTCAATTGGAGTTCCAACAAAGCACTGATACAGAGTACACAGACCATGTTGAAATATAAACAAAAAACGAACACCTACCATCCTCAGCATTTCGATGTAAGCAAAAACGAAACTTTGCAAAAATACCAAGCAAACAATGTATCATTTCACAAAATTCCCCAAAAAAATCAAAACTTTATAGCAGCACATCAGCTAAACCAGAAATGGGCATTCTTTGCTAATAACAACAATCTAATTCTCAACAAAAGGTTGCAATAGAAAGGTTAAACACAACCTAAAAATTTAAGAAGCAAATGGAGAATATAAGGCGAGCACAGATAAGGACAAGTAGAGATAACGAGAGATAAGAGCTCGGAGAAATGAGTTTACCAGTCGGAGAAGACGAAGAGAAATAAGAGAAGTGATGATGGGAACGAGAAAAACGATTGATGGAGAAGAGAGAAGACGGCGGTGCTGTTGCTGTAACCGGAAAAAGGGTTAGACTTATTGCCATTGCTCCTCTCTCTCTTCTTCACCTTTAATCTCCTTCTTTTCCTTTTTTATTTTTTATTTTATTTTCTTTTACTTACAAATTATTCAGGAAATCTTGGTGTTGGGCCGGGAAAATCAAAGGCCCAGTATTTTAAAATCCGGATAGGCCCGAGTACTGGTTTCAGTCTGCTTACTCGAGAAACCTTGGCCGTGGACGATATGTATGGTATGATGACTAAAAACAATATAAATTAATCGTTTAACATCTCCAGCCAGGCATAGCCTCAGGAGGACTACTAATTCTAGAGCACAAAGATTTGATGACCTTGTAATCGTCTGGATAACCGAGAATATATAAGAAAGTCCTTGTTTGCCATGTCGAAGCTTCCATGCCTCCAGAAGCTCAGCAAAGTTTGGTGAGCTCTGGAAATAAAGACGCAACAAATTGCCGCCAGTTTCTCCCTTTAGTAACTTACCAAATTCTTTGGCAGCATCAGAGCATAGCTTAATCTCGTGTAAGCAAATATTATTCAACAATTCCCTAAGTTTAGCTTCATGCGATGATCTGAAAGCCATCATCACTGGGAAATTTTCCAACTCAACAAGATCTCTATTCCCTTTGTCCATCACCACCATTCAATCAGAAAAGTACGGGAAACAAGTTTTAGTTGATGCCAAAAGTGATGGAAACATGAAAAAAAACCCGATTGAAGGAGAATAGAGAAGACGGCTGTGGTGGTGTTAGCTTTAACGCCTATCACCGGATAAAACGGTTTAGAGTTATTGCCGCCTCTCTGCCCTTTAATCTCCTTCTTTCCATTTTTTGTCTTCTAATTTATTTTTTTAAAAATAAATTATTAAAAAAAAAACGTAAGGCAATTATGGGCCGAAAAATATATTAGAAAGATTCACAAAAGGGGAAATCAAATCTTTTATTATATAACTCTTGATATAGTGTTGTACACAGTGTATGCAAGTCTTCTTCAGGTAGAAGAACTTGTGACAATCGACACAAGTCTCAGAAGCTCCGAGATTATGAGAACAGGAACAATAATAGTAAATATAGCTTCATAAACACTAAACCCCTAATCTTTCTATCAAACGCTTCTCAACATATCCGATTTATCCTCCATAATTATGAGTAGTAATTAAACGACTATGCAAGAGTTTCATTTGTTGTCCCTGTATTTAGAGAAAGCAAGAAGAAAGACTAATGTGACCAAAGCCTATAACAACAATAATGAATGGCGTAATAGATTTAAAGAGTTGAATTAATAGTACCTCTTAACAAAAGAGTCATCTTCAGTGTTTATCACAATCTTTTCACCTGCCTCAAGATAAGATGGTACCTGAGGAATTCATGGTGGAATCGAGAGTTATTTTGGTATTTAGATTAACCAAACTAGTTCCTGATCGATGAAGATCAACTAATAGTAATAGCGGCAACTTACCTGAATAGTGGAACCATTATCCAGGACAGCTCTCTTGTACCTGCAATTTAAGAAATAAGGCTGTTTTTCATAACTTCTATAAGATTTGACTCATGGTGTTGAGGATACAAAATGGTTCATGCGAAAATCAACAATATGTTACATGCATATACTGTATAGAGAACAAGTGTTCCTGATTTTTTAATAAAGACATACCGAGGAGCTGATGTTAGGCCTTTCATGGGAAGTTGTGTTTCTACTACTGTGCATGTAATATGCTTAGGGATAGATGCAGATAAAGCTCTTCCATCATATAGCTGCAACTGAACTTTCATTTCCTCTGTCAATCACGAGGAAGGATGGGACAAAGAGATACATAGCAGATATGTTTAGTATTTCTAGCACATGCACAAATCATTCAGCAAAAACAACAGAAATGGATTTCATCATCAAACAACGGCTACTTTGCACTTAGATATTTTATATTGTTGTTTAAAAAATCATCAACAAAGGAATCAACGCAACATGCATTGCAAATGACATCATCGTACTACCAACCTTTTAAATATACCGCAGCTTTGCCAAATATGTCTAAAGGCACTTCAACTTGCTCAAACGTATTAGGCCTGTTGGATATACATAGTTAAGCAAATATTGTTAAGCAACTCGAGGTCCTACAGAATGTTTAAGTAGATATAAAACAGGTAAGGAGACTACACATAAAATGGACTCACTCAATCAGAAATGCAGTATCACCCTCTGTATATAAACACGTGAAAGATTTCTCCTCAACAAAAACCTCTGCAGTAAATGATGCTATCAATCAATATCACAGCAAAATAGTTCACCTATACTACAATGCTGCTAATAGCAAAATGGTTAGGGAACCCAAAAAGAACGACTTATAGTAGGCAAGAGATTAATTTAGACAAAGCTATGAATGATGTAGGATAAACAAACATACTCTCAACCGACTCCTCAGATCCAAAGCGCAAGTTAAGCTTATTCCCACTGTCGACATCACGAAGCTCAACCTGTTTCCCACAAAGATGAGAGATGCAAACGTTGAGGCTAAGACACAGGATATCAACAAAAACACGAAATAAACGAACCAAAACACTAAATTGTTGTCGATTGTACAGACAAGAGGCAAAAACAGAAGAAGATCCGTATCTAACAAATTTTTCTGCATGAATCAAAAAATTTGACTCACGTGCCTAAATTACTAAATCAGGTTGACATGTCCGAAGTTTGCTAGTGATTGGTGAAGAGTTTCATACCTGTATGGAAGCTCCTCCTCTACCTTGTTGTTTATGCTCTGCTTCTACAACCTACATCATCAAAAAGGATCATTACTGTTTCTCAATGCGTGGGAACTAAAACAAACCTGAAGATATAAAACATTTGTCCAGATGACTAACCCGAAATGTACGTCCTGAAGGTGCAACGGTCCATCAAATTGAGTTAAATCTTACTCATCCAAAAACGATCAGATGTATAATCAAAAGGAGAAAACTTCAAAAACAAACCTGTTCGTTCAATTACATTCCCTGGCCTTAGCTGAAATTAAAAACCCGAAAAATCAGAGTGAGAACACGGACTGTACAACATGCTCGGCGCAAATCAAGTTCACAGGTAAGCTTTGCTGGCATCAACTTCGAGTCCTCAAAATCGATTCAATTTATCAAAAGTACAAATCTTCTCGAAGAACAAAAAGGTGCAATATAAATCGCTAGTCAAAATGAGCAGTAACTTTAGTCTCCGTTATCAAACTTTACCTGAATCGCGTTAACCTTAACACCACGGCGTTGCACAGTAGACCACGGAGAATAAAGCGGAGGCGTTTCTCGGCAGTATCCACCGGCGGCGTAGGGGGCTGATGACAACGACCCGCTCAAAGAATACAGTGACCTCCTAGTCGTTAGGGGTTCAAGCAAAGTGGCATTGGAGAGGGAGAAGAGAGATCGAAAGACTGAGATTCTCTTGAAATGGTGAAGCCCTCTCATCTCCGTTTAACTCTACAGCAATCGGAAACTGGTTCTCCCTACTCCGATGATGCTTAAACTAATAAAATCAGGACGGCGTCGCGATTCAAAAATACGTCGCCGTTGCTAGAAATGTTGATGCCTCGAGAGCACGCCGTTAAGACGGAACGAATTATTACGGCGTCGTTTCGATGTTGCTGATGATATTAATCGTATGGATAATGGACGCCGTTAATAGAACTAACGATTACGGCGTTGTTACTCCGGCGCTAAACGGGGACATTTCACAAAGCAACCCTCATTTTCTTATCGACGGACAAGGCCTTCTAAATCCAGTATTGGGCCTTAGAAGTAGCCCATTTAAATCACTATTTTACGCTATTTTGCTCACACACTCGAATGATTTTTATTGTAAACCCACAAATTATTATTTTGTCAATTACAACCCTTCCTCCACTTATTCAATACTTAAGAGATGAAAACAAAACGATGAAAGCAATTGTACTCATGATCAGGATTAAAAATATAAATCAATACCTTGAAGTTAAATCCATCATTTTCTTTGAAGATGTCATTATTATAGCTTACAAGTTGTTTACTTGTTATAATTGTCCCCTCCCACTACTCTAATGCTTTGAGATTACGATTTCAACTCATTAAAAAGGTGACAGAGAATTATTTTATTGATATTAGGATGTGGAAAAATCTTACGTAGAAAAATAATACATAAGCGAGAACAAGGAAAAAAAAAAAAACAACAACAATCAAAGAATATGATTGTCGTAAAATGAAAAAGACAAATTAAAGAGATATGTTTTAGAAAAGAAACCCAAAGGCCAAAGTGGCAACAGAGGCGAAGAAAGCAGGGATGGACAAGGAAGCGTCGGAGGTAGGACTCGGAGCCGGAGCCTCCACCGCGGAAGCCTGTTGCATGGCTGAGAAAGCCATCGTCGCCACCAAAACCGTCAAAATGAGTCTCATTTTCATTGCCTCCATTGGTTTCTCTCTAAGTGGTTCTTCGACAAAAGCACGAAGATATTATATGTTTAGTGTGTTATGATGTGTTGTGTGACTTGTGGCCTTGTGGGTTTATATATACAAATGGATGCGTGTAAGGCCAACTGTGTAATTATCACTTTAAAAATTTAATAAGCACCAACACAATTAATACATTTTCGAATTGTTGTAATTCTTTGTATTTGGTAGAGAAACAAACATTCTTTAGTCACATGAACCTCTCTGTAAAGCCAAGTGAGATCTTTAGTTGAAAAATAAAGAGTTGGAAAGAATAGTGCAGGCGCCGATTTAAGTTGTATATTGTTTTCCTTGGAGAAAGGGATAATATAATATGGTTGGTTCAAAGATTATACAGTTCAAAAGTTGTCGTATTTTTCAATTAATATACAGTTCATCATACCAGGAACATTTTTTCTTAATAATTTAAAGAGAGAAGAAATAGGATACCGTTTTGTTTTTTTCCATTTGACGACCGTGACAGTGAATAGATAATAGATTAGAGAAAGCAATTAGCTGTTTAGTTTGTTGTTTCTTTGTAGGTACAGTAAAGAATATGTGAATTTGATCTGATGGTTCCATGTGCTCTCACTTTATATAATTGGCTCAGTCCATTTTATCCCAATTATTGCTCAAAATTCGATATAACAAGAATTTGTACAATTTGACCCTAAAAAAAAAAGAAAAAAGTTGTACAATGTAAGTTATAATTGTATTAAACAAAATTAAGATGAATAAGGTATAATACATACCATCTTTGTAATTCTCGATTATATTTTTGAAATTATATTGATTCTTATATATTTTTTTTAAGTTATAAAGTTATGAAGGAAAAGTAAATTGAAATTGTTTCGTCAAACTAACAAGCTTCAACTACATGTCTCTGATTAGCGGGTTAATCAGTGGGTACAACAACCTCATGCGATTGCGGTATTGCCTATGCCTATATTCTATTAGTCTATACTATTACCATACAAGACTCTGATTCAAAATGAAGAACCATCATGAAACTATCCGATTCACACTAACAAAATATAAAGCAAGCTTCTTTCTTGGGAGCCAAGAAACCAACAACTCGCCAAGCCTAGATATCCAATAATGCTGGTTTAAGAACAAACATCGTTCTTGATCTTAAAGCTCATCACATCAGACACAGAGCCAGAAAGATCCAAAAACAGAGTTGTCTACTCTAAACCCGGATTATAAACCAAAAACTCTCTTGATCTCTGATCAATTCCACAACACAAAAACAAATCGGGGGCATGCTGCTTCATTAGTCTTTTAACATTTCGAGGTAAAATCGATTCAACGATTGCAGATTATAATCATGTATTGATGGGTCTAATCATCAAGGAATAGACTTAAACGAACCCAAATATAGACAATATTCACAAGGACACAAACTGTAATCCGGAAAAAATATTGGATTTTCACCAAATCACAAGAACTACAGAGTATATACATCGAACACAGAGAGAAAACAGAGTAATCGCAAAGAAAAGAAAAAAAAAAAAAAAAACCTTTACAAAGAAGAGAGAACATGATCGAGTTTAGTTTGATCACTCAAAATGCAGATGAAAATGATGCTGATGTGTAGCGATGGAAGATGAAGATGAACCATAAACAAAAGAGTGATCATCATGATCGTCTTCGTCGGCTTCAGGATAGAGCAAACCTGGAGGAGGAAGGCAGAGAAAAGACAAGAGACATAAAGCGAATCGACCCAATTGCTGGAGCGGGAAGAAGCAGACTAGCTCAAGCATCTCGCTGCTGCTTATGCGATCGGACGGTGGGATCCGCCGTAGTCGTTGCCAAATCTCCGCCGACAAATGGGCTACGGACATAACTGTCTGGCCGTTGAACACCATGTTCGTATCATACACTGTTTATTCAGACAGAACTGTAACTGGATGATGTTTCCGTGATTTTCGTCCAATTTGTCTCTGTTTGTGTGTACAATACACCAAGGTTTGGGTTTTCCCACGATCTTTCACCCTTCCTGATCTTGCCACGTTGACTTCTATGTTTCATCATCATCATTAACCGAATACTGCTTAATCCATTTTTTTAAGTGTTTAATTAATTAAAAAAGCTAGCAAATCAAAACGAAGCCTATTGTTTTAGTGGAAGTTAAAAATCATAGTGATTAGTTCTATACCATATTTGGTTTCAGTTTACATTAAGAACTATTGCAAATTATTAGAAGTAATAGGATGATAAAAATATATGTTTTTTTGGTTTTGTTCTGTTGTAAATAGGTACTATATGGAACTAAATTTTGTAGGAATGTTTTAGCTTCTAGTAGAAGTGAGAATGATGGGACTCGTAAGCTACTGTCTCTATAGGTTTCACCTTAATCCATTAAGCTGTTTTCTCCACAGGTAAGCTACCATTCTTTGATCCAACTAAAACTCTGCAAACGATCACTCTGATGTAGTTATTAGTCAGACGCAATGTTAGTATCAATAAATGATCTTTGTTTGGGTTGGTTCTTAGTTTATGCTTATATACCGTAGTTTTTACGCAATTTAGACCATGTACGGTTTATTTACTTTTAACCATCCCCTCTAAATATTTTTGGTCGCTTTAATTTCGGTTATACACCCATAACTTTGGGGATTTCACAGTCTCTCTCACATTAAAGTTGAGACCTTTCAGCTTTCACAATTCGCTGTGCCCTGTGGCAAGCTTCGTCTTCATCTGGGTTTTGGTATTTTTGGGTTATGATCTGGGTTTGCTAGCTCCTTTGCTATCCTCTCCTGAGAAATGTAAACCAACTTTGGGTTTAGGGTTTTGTGTGAAACGGGGGTTTGCGACTATAGAGGGTAAAATCAACGAGGCCTAGGGCATTGGTCAGCTCCTGAATCAATCATCCCTCTCATTTTACACTTCTAGCATCAGCTTGTCACTCTAGAAATCCAGGAAGCACTAAGGAACGACGAGTGTATCTCCAACCAATCAACTGTAAGTTTTTTTTGTGACCACTATAAGTCTGTTGTGTCTTTTCTTCACACGGATTTATGAAACCCCTTTAGGTTCTTTAATCTGTAGGCTCCAATCGTAGACTTGTCCTTTTGCCACAGAAGCTCAAAGTTTGAGATTCCAGAGCATTGTTTCTCACATGGACCGTATCAGTCAACTTTCGGATGATTTGCTCTTGCAGATTTTGTCATGTGTTCCGACTAGAAATGTTGTGGCCACAAGTCTTTTATCCAAAAGATGGCGGTTTCTTTGGATGTTAGTGCCACAGCTTCGATACGATGATACCAATCACAATGGTATTGGTGACTATACGATATTCTCTCAGTTTGTGTACAGGTCTTTGCTATCAAATAAGGCTCCTGTTCTACAACATTTGCATCTGAATCTTGGCGCTCGCTGTCCTGCTATAGATATTGCTCTATGGATTGATGTTGCAGTTAGTCGTCGTGTGCGTGAGCTGGAAGTTCTTATTCGTTCTCCCTGGAATGTGTCTTTCAGTTTGCCAAGTAGCGTATATACCTCTGATACACTAGAGACCTTGAGACTCATCGATTTCGTTCTTCTGAATATTCCTTCTTCAGTTCGTCTCCCGTCCCTCAAAGTTCTGCACCTAAGGACTATTGATTACGTAGACGATGCATCTCTACCAAGTCTTTTATCTGGTTGTCCAAATCTTGAAGAATTGTTTGTGGAGCGACATGAGGAAGACTTAGTAATGGGTGTCACTGTGGCTGTGCCTTCCTTACAACGGTTATCTATGTTGGACCGAAATGATGTTAATGGTAGTCGATATGTGATAGATGCCCCTTCTTTGAAATGCCTTAACATTAGAGATGAAGCATTGTACGACTACCGTCAAATTGAGAACATGCCTGAGTTGGTCGAGGCATATGTTGAGATTACTAAAAGAGTTCCTCACAAATTTCTGAGGTCTCTTACTTCTGTCCGACATCTTTCTCTATGTTTATCACTTTCAGAGGTAATTACAAACCTTTAGAATATTGAATCTTGTGATTTTTCATATTATTACCCCTCTCAATGTTACTTTATGCTATTGTGTATACTAAAAAAACAGGTTACGTGTCCTTCTGGTATGATCTTCAGTCAGCTTGTTCATCTGAACTTGTATACATTTGCTGAAGGTTGGTGGACACTTCTTACTTATATGCTCCAAGATTCCCCCAAACTAAGAGTTCTCAAACTCATTGATGTACGTTCCTCCGTGGTCTCTATATTATGCTTTTATCTGGTTTAGTTTCCCAAAATTATTGACTGATAACTCTCATGCTGGTCTTAGAAACATGATTCTGTTCTTTGTGGCAAAGAAACCCCAATTGGTTGGAAGCCACCTAGTTATGTCGTCCCAGAGTGTATTTTGTTTAGTCTCGAGGCATTTGAGTGGATTGGGTACAAAGGGAGACGAGGAGATAGAGAGATGGCAACATATGTCCTAATGAATGCTGCTTGTTTGAGGACAGCAAAGTTCTCTCCAGAATCTAATGATGTGGGAACGAAGTATCAGATGCTCAAGGAGTTGGCATCAGTACCTACAGCTTCAACTTCGTCTCAGCTTCTATTCGACTGAATATTTTTCTTGGAATCTCATTTATGTTTGTGTTTAGTTTGGTTAAAGACTGGTTTAACAAAACATGCATGAATCATGATGAACCATGTCAAAGTCAAACCCAACTTGCTTCTCTTCTGTACCTCAAACTCAAAAGTGTGGAGATGAACGTTTTATTTAATTTCGTATTTCAACAGGAAACATGATCATCTCTGTTTTTACATTGTGTTACGGTAACATAACACAGCTTTACCCTCTCATCTATGTTTGACGCTGGATATACATTAACGTTCTCAAAACATGTGGCTTCACAGCTAGCAAAATATCAATATGTATGTGACTTCAAAGTTCAAACCATCCTTAATCACTTTAAAAAATTATAGATGACGATTTATTGTACCAAATGGTAATTTTATTTTTTTTTTTTTTTTTTTTTTTTTTTTTATATTTTATTTTACCAAATGGTAATTTTGACATTATTTATACCTACATTTGTTTTTGGCCGCTATATTAAAAGATTAGGGTTTATACTTTTATGCCTGAAACAGAGTAACCCCCGTAACACTGGAGAGTCACTATACACCTAATTGAGTCATTGGTTCGTGAATCAACCCCTGATATACTTTTTTCTAGGGTTTAGGTTATATCCTAGCTTCCTCTCGCGCGTCAATTCTTAGTCCTTAGTCCCCAGGACAAAAAGAGCTTGACAAACAAGGTACTACGCATATCTCCAAACAGTCACTGTAACTTATTGTGATTCTCTCTGTTTTTCTTTTGTTGTGTGTCTTTGATACGAATCATATATGTATTCATCTTTACTCTTTTCAAATTTTGTTTTTGTATAGTGTTGACATGGAGAACATCATCAGTCAGTGTCCAGATGACTTGCTCTTGCGAATAATGTCATGTATTCCGACAAAAGATGTCATTGTCACGAGTCTTTTGTCCAAAAGATGGCGATATCTTTGGAGATCGGTGCCAAAACTTGAATATGATTGTAGAAGCCAAAACAAAAGATTCACACAGTTTGTTTACAGGTCTTTGCTAAAACATAACGCTCCAGTTCTCCAGAGGTTGGATCTCAAGAATCTTAGTCTTCACCCTGAATGCCGTGCCGTAGATATTGGACTATGGATTGATATTGCAGTTAGTCGTCAACTGCGTGAGCTTGAAATTTCTATTCATTATTCTGAGGAAGGATCCTTCTGTTTGCCTAGTAGCTTATACACATGTGAAACACTCGAGAGCTTGTCACTCACCATTAAAAGTTGTGTTCTTGTGGATGTTCCTATAGCAGTTTGTCTCCCTTCCCTCAAAAAATTATACCTAATTAGGAGTTCCGGGTGCATAGACAATGCACATGTTCTTAGGATTATATCCGGTTGCCCTAAACTTGAGGAGTTGCGTTTAGCAAGACCTGATGATGGTGATGGCGGCAATATGATACATATGGCAGGCCACACTATAGAATTCACTATTGATGTGTCTTCCTCAAAAGGATGGTCTTTTTTGGGGTATGAGTTTGATCAGATATTTGGAAAGGGTAGTAGAAATGTGATCAAGGCTCCTTTGAAGTACTTTTCTGTGTGTAATTCTGTTCTTCTCGACTCCCGTCGGAGAAGGCCTGATTTGGTCATGGCACGTATTGGGACTGCTAATGGATATATTACTCACAAGTATCTCGCAAAGATTACTAAGGTCAGAGGCCTTTATCTATGTTTATCACTATCAGAGGTAATAACAGATCTTGTGATCATTTGCATATATATATATAGTGTTCCTTGATCAGTACTATTCTAACTTGCGTATTTTTTTTTTGTAAATATAACAGGTTATGAATCCTTCTGAAATGATCTTTTGTCACCTTGTTGACCTTAAGATATGTACATGTACTCAAGGTTGGTGGGATCTTCTTACTCATATGCTCCAAGATTCCCCTAAACTACAGTTTCTGACAGTCACCAATGTATGCAGTCTCTTTTTTTTCTTTCTCTGTACAGTCACTTTTGTCACAAGTAAATGCTTTTGATCGTGATAACATAACAAAGAAGTTGTTCGTAATTGGTATTAGGAACGTTGCCGTGGACTTGCTAGTATAGAGATCCCGTATTGGTGGAAGGGGCCGAGTTCTATTCCCGCTTGTTTGTTGTCCAGTCTTGAAGGTTTCAGGTGGAGTGGGTATAAAGGGAGACAAGGAGAAAAAGAACTAGCAACATATGTCCTAGAGAATGCTACTGGTTTGAAGAAAATGATTTTCTCTTCGGAAACAATTGATTTTAGAGAGAAGTATAGGATGCTCAAAGACTTAGCATCTGTTCCTAGGCCTTCGCCATCATGTCGGATTCTGTTCGACTGAACATGTTATGTATTTGCTTTCTTGCACTGTATATTTTGAACACACGAACAGATGTGACTAAAGAAAGACTATTTTGGTGTTCGGTTTGAATTGTTATTTTGCTTCGGTTAACTAATTCGCACATTTTGTTTGGCCTGAGTAATTGAGAATTGATGCTGAGATAGTGTTTCACATAGAGATCATCAGACATCAATATTTACAGAATATCAATATTTACAGAATACTTTTTGGACTTCTTCGACGCTTAAGAAATCCCTAATCACAACTATATTCCTTGGTATACTGTAAACGGGAAATAAAGTTAAAGAGCGTTCGTCATTTAGTTTTGGTGTTTATACGCTCCCGCCAAAAAGTATTTTGATGATAATTTAATTCGATTTATGTCTCTCTTGCTTACAGTCAAAATTGGTATGACTTTTAAATTATTGAAACGGGCTTTATATCGATTCTGAATCGGTTTATGTCAGACAAATAGGGTTCAATCTTCAGGCAAGTATTGTTAAGTTCATATATCATGGAACCAAGGACATAGGTTGATGGATGAAGTAACTAAATTAATCATGGTGTCTGATTAAGAGCGGAGCAAATAAGAATTCGTTCATGGATTGAGAAACAAAATCAAATTGGAAAAATAAAAGTTAAAGAAACAAAAAGAAAATAAAAAAAAGGCCTCAGAGATCTTGGTGGTAAACCAATCATCAATTGAAAGAACTATGTCCTTCATCAAGAGTAGCAAATATTTTCTTGCATCACTGGCCACACAATCTTCAAAAACATATACAAGTTGGAAAAATTCTAATGATGATGAATCAGAAGTAGCTGGTTATATGATCACATCTTTCCCGGAGGGAAATCAAAGGGAATCCGAATGATTTTTTTCGTCATCTTTCATCATCAACTAGATTTCAAACAGAGATTTTTTTAAAAAAAAAAATCAACAAACTAAGATTTTAAAGCAATAGAACAAAAAAAACAAAAGAAGAAGAAGAAGATGATGAGTCAGAAGTAGCTGGTTATATAATCACATTTTCCCCAAAGGGGGAATTCAAAGGGAATCCGAATGATTTTTTTCGTCATCCTCAAAACATCTTTTCTCAGAACAATTTTTAGAAAACAAAACAAAATAAACCAAAAAGCATTCCAAATCAACTACTATGGAAAACTAGAGCTGAGGCTTCGCTAATGAGTTCACCAAAACCGAATCGAAACAACAAACACTAATCGACAATAAGAGAAGAGATATGATGAATACGCCGCGAGGTTTGTTTGTACATAGAAGAAGAGAGCAGAACTTATATATATACGGCGACGAGGAGGTTTGACTACAAGAACAAGAAGCCCTAGTCATCTCTTTGCTTCACGAAACGCTGCCGTATTCTACTTCAGCTCTCTCATGGGCTCTATCTTTTGAGTTGGGCCTTTGGTTTATAGTTTATACTACTTTTCTTTTGATTAGTACGTGAGTAAAAGTCCACTCTGATATCGCAAGGGGAGTTATTGGGAAAATGATTTTTAAAGATTGTTAGAATCTAAGATTCTTTTGTTATTCGTTTATGAATTTTTAAATTCTTAATAAAATCTTTTGTTATTGGTGTGTTGATTTTGTAATTTCATTTAAAATCCTTTGTTATTCAAAAAGTTGAGTACTTATTGATTTTACAATTCTATTAAACTCTAGTGTTATTGGGAATATGATTTCCTACATATTTGGTCATTAACAACAACTTTCAAAATACTGCACTTAAAATTTAGCAAACATTTATTAGAATCTACAAAAATCTTTGAGAATTTTAAAATCTCTAAGGGGGTGTTATTGGTTGTATAAGTTAAATTCAACTCCATTAGATTTTAAAAATCATAAGACTTTTAAAATATGGGTTCATTTAAACTGAATTATAATTCATTTTAACAAATCCGTGGAAGTGTATTTCTACAATGACAAATGATATCCTTTGTTTTGAACAATAGAATTGAATTCTATAACAAATGATTTTCACAATTTCAATGAAATTCTACCAAACTTTTTATTATCACATTTTTTTTTCTCATTTTCTGTTTTGAAGTTCTAGCATATTTTTTTAAGGTGAAAATTAATTAGTATAAAAACAAAGTGACGAAAATGAATCACACAGCAACCATATTCATTTTGGGTGGAAAATGAGGAACGTAGTGTGTATTTTTGTTGTAACGGACACACTACTACGTAAAAGAAAATGAGGAAGAGAGAAAAATGTTGGGTGGATGAGTTATATGTATTACGTTGAGTGATAGGGTGAAACTTTTGTTTATTTGATTGTGAAATCTCATGTAGAAGGTTGGTTTTTGGATTGACATAATTTACATATGAAATCAGTTTCATGTTCATTTTAAATCCTTTTAAATGATATCATTTGTGAAAATCCACCAAACTTGAATAACATAAGACTTTGATTAATAATTATAAGTATGAGAACCAATAACACTTGATTTAAAACTCTTTTGATAAAGACAATGTATATATGAGAACCAATAACACTTGATTTTAAACTCTTTTAATGAAGATTCTATAATTATAAGAACCAATAACACTTGATTTAAGTAAAAGATTTAAAATCATTTATTAAATAACACTAGATTTGGTTTAGAGTTAGACTCTATTAAAATCCAGTATCCAATAACACCCACTAAAACTTTTAAAATCCACGAACTCTTTTAGATTCAACCTCCCAATAACCCCCTATAAGTTGTAACCATAACTGTAAAAAGTATACTAAAAACCTGATTATACAGCTTTTTTTTTGTTTTTTTGGTTCTCAAATATGGGACACAAGTGAAGGAAGATACAAAGACATAAGCATGGAAACTACTACATAAATTATATATTTATTAGTCCAATATATTAATACAGACATGAGCATGGTGTGTTTCTTAGCAATAATCCTGTTGACCTGCAATGGATAGATTCAGTCTCAGGTATCAAAACCTTCGGACCAGAAGCGACCTCTGAAGACAGAATCTCTCCTCACAGTGACTCCGTCTATATCTTAAATCATCATCGGATCAACACTTTACTTACGAGCTTCTCCGACGACCAAAATCCTGAGGCTGCCTGCCTGCCTCCTAACGTAAATTGCAGGTTTTCTTCTAACTTAAACTGACACTTCTTGCTTTGATTCTAAAGCTTGAGGTGTTGATGTTGCCGCTCTATCCTTGACATACGTCCTTAGGCATCCGTTGATTATGCGTGGCGCTGATCCATCGCAGAACCGTTTTGCAAGATCAACAGCCTTTTCCACATCATTTTTGTAACAGCGTTAGTTCACAACAAGAGCAAGGTTATCACATTGCAAAGCTAACTGTAGAGGTCTGTATGTTACCTCGTTGATGACTATTGGGTGTCGGGTTTCAAGTACTGCCACTTCAGACATTGCTAAGTGAAGAATTGAAAACTCTAGTATTCTTGCAGCTGGTGCACTCTGCCAATAGGTACAGCAACATCTTTAAGGTATTTATCGATGATAAGAGATGAAAAAATGTGTAGACAATAACACCGTCAACAATAGACAACTGCTTCTAGATGTTCAATTTAATTCAAAGCAAATGTTGAGCTCAGGTGCCAAACAGCCAATAATAATATGAGCTATCACAATAACTAGACAACAGAAGAAAATGATAACCGATGAATCTTTGAGTTGGTAGTTCCTTAGTTTTTAACTATCCAGTACATGACCATAGTTGAAGTTTAAGCGTATCAACTTATACCTTCCAATCTGGCGGGGAAATTTTCTCGATGATAACGACGTGGCTATCCCATTTATCAACTACTGCAGCCAAGAGTTTCTTTGCAAACCTACGTAAATGCACATAGTGGGAATAAGGTATACACAATTTTTTTCAGAGTAAGCAGAAATTACTATCTATTGATACATTTATAGATTACCGTAAAACAAGTTTGCTGTAGACCAGCTTTGGGGGAGCTGAAAGCACTTCGGCTTCTGCAGAAAAGGGAGGATACACAACAGTTCACTATTAAAACAAGGGAAAAATCCATGACCCAATCCAAACAAGATTCTCTTTGCCATATATAAGTAAAGCAGAACAGGAATACTTTTTTTTTTTTTTGTCAATCAAGCAGAACAGGAAGACTTATTTTCAGAATAAGACCAACCGATTTTGGATTCTTTTTCATCATGGCGCACAAGCTCATCTTCCTCCTCTTTTGTTTCTGTTTTAACTGGGGGTCCTCCAAAGCTCATGTGGTTGTACTCCAACAAAGAATTCTTGTCAAACTCATATCCAGGCTCTGTACAAAGCAAACATCATTCATCACAAGTACTAAATCCAAAAATTTCAAGCAAGTTATCCACAGAGTAGGCGATCTGAAAACGGAAATAGTATTAACAACGATCAAAGAGATTACAATGTGATTCCTATATTCATGACTGTGTTGCAGCAGGAAACAAAAAAACAAGATAAAAAACACATATTTAGTTGATATACTTGCCTCTTCTTGCATTTATTCTCTTCTCAAAGAGACGAATTGGGTCTGATCCTTCTAAGCATGCGGCATAAAGTATTACTCTGTAAAGGTCATAAACCAAAAGGGATCCAGAATAAGAAAACTAGAGAGCAGACTCAAACCAATAGCAAATGATCATAGAGTAGCTCATTTTCATTGGAAATCAAGTAAGAATGGAGAACAGAAAAGGCTTACACTTTATCCATCTAAACTAAAATTAATTTCAGGTTTTGGGGTTTTGGATAAGACCTTAAACCCAACCTCATGGAACTCTAATTTGAGCTTCATTCTAGTCCCAAGAAGCCACAAAAATGACCAAACTCATTCCAATTTCAGTAAAGACGAATTTTTATTTCCAGCTAAACTTCCAATTCCATTCAAAATCAAGTAAGCGAAATAGCGAATACGATTTAAGAAACGAGAAAAGAGAGAAAATGAAGCTTACAGAGCGAGCTCGCGTGCGGCTCTAGGACTGCTTAATCGACCGCTCTTATCTATCTTCGGCATCGGGACATCTTTCACCTCCTCCGCGGAAATCGTCGGCGTACGGAGAGCGCTTCTTGTCGGAGATAGAAACAACCGCAGAGAAGACGGCGATGACCGTTTATTTCCAGTCCGCAGGGACACCAAGTTCGTCGGCCGGAGCGAATTCACCAATGTAAATCCTATAGAACGGTGAGAATTTGGCGAAACATTACTGGAAAAGTAACAGAGACTCGAGGAAGAACGTAGGCAAAGCGGCGAGATGGTTCCCTCCATTTTTTTGTTTCGAGCTCTTCTCTGCTTCGTCGTGTTTAGTGAGAAGAAGCAGATAACGATATCCGCAAAATGGAAAAGAAACAAAAAAATATCTCAGGGAAACAAAAAAATGAAGTTGAAACGTACGACGGCGTTTTACCACTCTGACTAAAAACCTTTTAAAATGGCCTATACAGGGATCGAACGTGTGACCTTCGCGTTATTAGCACGACGCTCTAACCAACTGAGCTAATAGGCCAGTACGTTATATCGTGACGATTTAAAATAAAAAATAACACTAGTCAGTGGATCATGAGGCAGAGGTTTCTTTTTAGACAAGTATCAACTATCAAGTGTTACTCATTTTTATTACTTTGTTAAAAATACTAGATTCTATGTTAAAAACGGAAATAATTATTCATCAGATTTGAATAACCAAATACAGTATTACGTGTATTTCTTAGTAATTTTTATTATTACTTGGTTATTTTAAATCACAGAAAAATTACGTAACACAATTACTTCATTTTAGCCCCCGAGTAATATTTTTTTTCCAGCAATCTGCGTTTAGGTTTTGCCTCAGCACCCCTGACCAACCAACAACCTTGCATTTCCACATCAGAGGCTACGAAGAGATCTGTCTCTGCCTTGTCCTCCAAACCAGATCTCTCTCCGACACAGTTTCACAGTCAGTGATCGTCTGGGCCGGCGTCTTTTGTTATCCATCGAGATCGGTTACTCTACTGCGATGGCTATGGAACAGAAGCCAAAGACTAAGATTGTGTGCACACTCGGGCCAGCGTCCAGATCCGTCCCAATGGTTGAGAAGCTTCTTAGGGCGGGGATGAGCGTGGCTCGCTTCAACTTTTCTCATGGATCTTATGAGTATCACCAGGAGACCCTCGATAATCTTCGTCAGGCTATGCTTAACACTGGCATGCTTTGTGCTGTCATGCTCGACACCAAGGTCAATCTTATACAAACTTTAATGTGATAGGTGCATTGATCTATGTATATCCATACCATTGCAGCGTTTTCTTTTGATTATTTAGCCTCTGTTCACGCCTGAATCAGATTGTTTTTCCTCATTTTACAATTGATTAGTGTTTTAACTGATTTTAGCGTTTTCGTATAGTGCTTGTTTCTAGGAGTTCTGATTTTTTTTATTTCACTGTCGATCTTAAGACACTCGTTTTGTCTCTGTTTAAGATCTGTGGGAAATGTTTGCTGGTTATAACCAGATGGAGAACTGATGTTGGTTGCTTGTAAGTATAAACTTGTGGCCAGAATGTTAGATTGTTAAGACTCTTAACTTTGGCTTCAAATTCACACTTTCTCGTCTGTTACTTGGCTAATTTCTGGCCATGAAAAAGCTAATAAAGGTGTGAAGTGTATAACGTAGCTAAATCTTGTTATGGCCTTCTTGTTAAAAAGTATATGTGTTTGGGGGACCTTTAATTTTGGTTTTTGCATAATGGTATAAGGAAGGATTTTGATTATTGTATTTGCTTGGCAGGGGCCAGAGATTCGAACCGGATTCTTAAAGGATGGGAAACCTATCCAGTTAAAACAAGGCCAAGAAATCACCATTTCAACTGACTATGACTTGAAAGGTGATGATAAAATGATTTGCATGAGCTACAAAAAGTTAGCGGAAGATGTCAATCCAGGCATGGTCATACTCTGTGCCGATGGTACCATCTCCTTAAAGGTCCTTTCTTGTGACAAAGGAAAAGGCACGGTTCGTTGCCGTTGTGAGAACACGTCAATGCTTGGTGAGAGGAAGAACGTTAATCTCCCTGGCGTAGTGGTTGATCTCCCAACTCTAACTGAAAAGGACAAGCAAGACATTCTTGAATGGGGAGTTCCAAATCAAATCGACATGATTGCTCTGTCTTTTGTCAGGAAAGGTTCTGACTTGGTTCAGGTTAGGAAGCTACTCGGGAAACATGCCAAAACCATTCTTCTCATGTCAAAGGTATACGCCACTCAAACTATACAATTACTTTTCCATAATAAAATTCTTATGATATGTTACTTTTGATATTGTAAGGTTGAAAACCAAGAAGGTGTGGCCAATTTTGATGACATCTTGATAAACTCGGATGCGTTTATGATCGCCAGAGGTGACCTTGGAATGGAGATCCCTATCGAGAAGATATTCTTAGCTCAAAAGGTGATGATCTACAAGTGCAATTTCATGGGGAAGCCAGTGGTTACAGCGACTCAGATGCTCGAGTCTATGATCAAATCCCCACGACCAACAAGAGCAGAAGCCACTGATGTTGCAAACGCTGTCCTCGATGGCACGGACTGTGTCATGCTCAGCGGTGAAACCGCTGCAGGAGCATATCCAGAGCTTGCTGTCCGTACAATGGCCAAGATATGTGTGGAAGCAGAGAGCACGTTGGACTATGGAGACATCTACAAGAGAATAATGCTTCACGCTGAGGTGCCAATGAGCCCGATCGAGTCACTTGCTTCTTCTGCGGTCAGAACCGCTACTTCCGCTAGAGCCACTCTCATATTGGTGCTGACCAGAGGAGGCAGCACTGCGAGACTGGTGGCTAAGTACAGACCAGGGATACCAATTTTGTCTGTTGTAGTTCCGGAAATCACGTCCGACTCTTTTGATTGGTCGTGTAGCAACGAGGCACCTGCGAGACACAGCCTCATCTTCCGCGGTTTGGTCCCGGTGCTGTACGCTGGATCAGCTAGAGCCTCAATTGACGAATCAACAGAAGAGACTATCGAGTTCGCCACAAATTACGGGAAAAAGAAGCAACTGTGCAAGACCGGAGACTCCGTGGTGGCTCTCCTCCGTACAGGTAATGCTATTGTTATCAAGATCTTGACTGTCAAGTGATCTCATTTTGCGTTACGCGTTTTCCGGAGCTTCCTAGCGTTTTGGATATTATTCATCAAGTTTAAGTCTCTTTTGATTTTTATTTTTTTTGTGTGGCTGTGGCTGACAAGTTGAAACTTCACACACTACATAATGTTGTTGGACCTTTCTCTGCTTTGTACGAATGCAATTGCATCACCAAAGACTATATTTTGAAAATATTCTACAAAAATTTGTAACGTGAATCATTTGGCTCGTAATTACTGAGCTTTGAGTTTCGCACTTGAAGATAATGCGTTGCAATTTGCATGCAGGCCACAACCAAATTCACATGTCCCTCCCTCTCAACATAAATGCCAGTGTCCATTAGTACCTTTTTAACGGAAACTATTGGGGTATGTATACAAAACAAACAAACCCATATGATCATGAAATCAAGCCAGATGATATTAAACAAATAAATCAAAGATTCATTTCATCATAAGTGTTTATTTGTTATATTCAACAATCTGAGTGAACAAGATTTTATGTACTACCAAGGCAGAAGCTGAGGAATAGTGATCCAAGTGAAACGCAGAGGTTGTGTTTTGTTACTGTTCTTTTCCTTTATCCTTATTATGAGTTCTCACCAAGATGCGACGACCCCGAGGCCGATGCAGATGAAGAAGAGGAGGAAGAGAATAATCCGCTGAACGGCCATGGAAAAGAGAACCTTCTCTCGCTCACATTACCGTTCCTTGCCTCATCTTCCACATTCTCACTACTTATGTCGATCTCTAGAGTTCTTGTTCTCGGTCTTACCGGATCAACCTTTGTCTCATCATCAGGAGGGAGTTCATATCGGCAAACGGGACACGAACTGTGAAGCTCGAGCCATGGTACTATACAGCGGATGTGAAACTTGTGCTTACACGGCATCTCTTTAGCTTCACTTCCTTTGTCAAAATCATCCAAACAAACTGAACATTGCAATGGCTCACATATCTTAACAGTTGGTAGATTCTCCACGGCCTCTTTTCGAGCTGGAAGAGTCCCATGCCTGATTGGATCGTTATCAGCTAGATGTTCAAGCAAGTGGTCTAAACTGGGTCCAACAAAGTAATCTCCAATTGCAGAAAGAGAAGTGTTGTTCCGGTTTTGATTCAAACTCGTCGATCCCTGAACAACAGCTGATTGATTAGATGGGTCTCGGTCCGAGATTTCATATTCGGAATCAATCCCTTCACGAATACCCTGAAGCAACTGCAATATGGTAGCTGAGCTTCTCCGTCTCCTCCTAAGAATAGACTCAAACTCTCTGTCTAGATCAATCTCTCTACCTTGTTGCCTATGACGATGATGACGACGACGATGATGATGACTATCGACATTGCTGTCATTTCCACCAACGTCAGCAGCACTATTGACCTCATCATTATCAACACCAAACTCTGTTCTCCTAAACCTTCTACGCCTCCGAGGATTGCTCATCATTCCAAGCAAGATTGGACCCCATAGAGACAATGCACGATCAGTACCAAAATCAATATCCGGGTCTTGAACCTCCCTTAGACCGCTGCTGCTGCTGCCACGGCCACTAATCTCACCGCTCATTTCCTCGACGAACCCGCTTTGGCAAAAGGGGCATTTGATCACGGCATCAATGATTGGATTCACCATTTCTGAACACATATGACACCAATACCTAGCTGCCATTGCCTCTTCCCCTTTCTTTCCTTCCCCACCCAAATCCCTCGTTTCTGATACAACCAGAAGAAGAAGACCAAAAAAAAAAACATGATGAAAACCTTAAATTTTCCACCTTTGTTTCATCCGGTTCATATTTAATTTCAGCAGATCTAGATAAAGAGAACAACATTCCCAAAAGTTTCAATTTTTAAAAAGAGAATAAATCATCAGCTCAAGATTCATATAGAAAAATCGCAAAAAAATCAAGCTTCCTATGCAAATACGAAGAAATTAATGAAGCAGATGACTCCCAATGAAACGAACAATAGAAATCAGAGCAAACCCATGAAAATATAACTCCCAATTCTCATGCACATAGAGTCATCAAAACAAAACAAATACAGAATCATACCTTGTAAATGCTCTTAATTTTTGGAGATCCAGAGGAAAAAACAATCTTCTTCCTTCTTCAAGATCTCCACCAAGGATGAAAAAGAGCTCTTTATTTGTCTTTTTTATCTTCTGGGAGGTCTACAAAAATGGTGGGAGAAGAAATAAAGAGGAATCAAGGAGGAAAAGAACACGAAGACGGAGACGAAGAAAGAGAATGCAACGTATAATTGCAGACCCAATCTTAAAGCCCATTAACTGCACACTGATATATAAAGGGGCCGGGTCGATCTTAACCGAGTTTAATTTGGATTCAAATTGAATCGAACCGAACCGGTGAAAGGTAATGTTGAAAGAAGCGTAGCGTCCGTCTCGGTGTCAGAAAGGCAAATCGGAGACGATGAGCGAAACCGAAGCAACCGGCGTTACCGATGATTCGGCTCCAGCGATCGCGACTGAAACTGTTTCTGATGTGACGGAGCATAAACCAATCGGAGTGGTTGACTTGGTGGAGGAATCCATAGGAGGAACAGAGAAATGGGTGGATGATCTCCAGCGGACGGTGAAGGATACAACGGATTCCGCCATGCGCTCTGCTCGTTCCCTCCGTGAAAACTCTACCTCTCACTTCCGCTCTATACAGGTTGTTTTAACTCTCTCTCTTCTGTTCACCATGAAGTTTCTTACGAATCGAGATTCTTAGCAACAATTTTTTGGAATTCAAATCACGGATTTGGAATTCAATATCTCATAAGCTATAATTTCTAGAAATGAGTTCGTATCAAAATAGATTTTGCTCCCTTCGATTTTTTATGTATTGAATGGTGCAGACTGCTAGGTTTTGTTCATATGGTGAAATCTTGTTAAATCATAGCATTAGAACTTATTGGCAGTGATCCCAGTCTCTCCTGGTTCTGATTAGAAATTTCCTCCTTTTTTCAAAATGGTTTGTTTAGAAGTCTGTATCGCTGAGGCACTTTTTATTATCTTCCAACATTATGTTTTCTTTACTTACGTTTGTTCAAAGAATCATTGTCATTTCAAGATATCTGCTATCCATATAGATATTGCTATGAAGTAGCTGTATATGTCTTCGTGTACAATCCTGTTGTAGTTAATTTTTTTTGTGAAATTGCAGGATTTCATTCCACATGCTTTGACTCAATACAAGACCTATGAGAATGCATTCTTCAGTAAAGTAACAGGTGACTTGCAGCCAAATTTTGTGAAAAAATATTTATACTTGTAGACTACTGTAGTGCTTATGAACAAGTAATTTAGATCAAATCATTAAGATATAACGGATAGTTCCCAAAACTTTCATGTGTGTTTGCAGAGCATCTTATAGTGATATGAAACTAGAATCTTCCTGTCATTCTAAATAATTAATACTGGCATGATTCACTAGATTTGTAACAGCTCATCAATCGTATCCTTGGCTGTTTTTGTTTTCGTTGCAGAAGAATTGATATACGCAAAGGAACATCCAGCTGCTGCTGTTGGGATTGGTGTTGCTGCTGGTCTCGTTCTGATGCGAGGTAGAACTTCTACCTCTTTTCACTTTTACTTGTTTCCAAATAGTATTACATCTGTTTTAATTAGATGTGTCCTGTATGAATCTGGTTTTCTATTGTTCTACTTATAGGCCCAAGAAGATTCTTGTTTCGTCAGACACTAGGTCGATTTCAGAGCGAAGAGGTATCTACCATGCCATTGGCTTTAAATTTATTTCTCAACGTTGTATTAGTTGCCCTGGTTTTTTCCCTTCTCTTTTTTAATATCCACTTCAAAATCATCTTTTCAGGCACAGTTCTTGAGAGCTGAGAAGCATGTTCAGGAGTTGAACATGTCTGTGGACTTGATGAAAAAGGAGAGCAAAAAATTGCTTGAGAGGACTGCTTTAGCAGAGAAGGATATGAAACGCGGTCTCTCTGAACTCATGTATGCCCCCAACATCGACACTCCCACTTATTTTTAAAATTTGTTGACATCATTTGTGTTAATATGGCTATTGGCTACTACTGTTATCAATAGGAACTCTGGAAACGATGTACATCGTCTTGCTAAGTCCGTCCACAAGGTTGAATGTCAAGCTGCAGGTTATTTATTTTTACTCCCTTCTCCCTTTCAATGGTATCTTTGATTATTTTTGATAATGCCACTACGTCAGATTTCAATTTACACAGAGATCTCTGTTCTTTTGCAGATTTGATGGACGGACTTCGGCAAATTCCTGGAAGGGAAGCTATCAAGCTTAGAGCCGAAGTGAGTCTGACTTTTTTCTTATCTCCCATTGTTGTTGTTTCATTGCAATGAAGGTCTTATCAAATTGTCTTGTCTTGAATCATTAGGTGGCTTCCATGACTTCGCTCTTGAGACAGAAGAGGATTGCATTGAACAAAAGGATCATGAGTATGTCTGAGCTAGGAGTTCCCGTCTGATACATCTAACAATCCACAATTTCTTGGGTTATCTCAAACAAAGTTTGCTAGGTATATTTCCAATTCAATCGCAATGTACTCTCGTCCATAAAACTCTGTCTGAAACCAAAATCTGAGCTTGAGACAGAACTGTATTACTGTGTATTTTTTGCCTGATTCGGTGATTTCTAAGATTTCTGTCTCAGAGTGAATGAATTGAGTCAGAAAAATATTTCTGCTTGAGTTTAGAGAATCATTAAATATTATTAGCCTAGAAGATTTATAAGAAAACATAAAAAGTTGCTGAATCAATCAGTGATGAAAATTTATAGATAACATGAAGGTTTCTGAAGGCTAGTTTTGTAACGTAACTCTAAGGGAACGGGACTGTGGGCCATCCACCCACACGACTAGGCGACCCAACCGCTCTTGTCGGTTTCATCATGTTAAACCCTCCGGACGAGCAAGAAGCTTCAGTCATCGGACCGATCCGACCATTAATGTCCAATGTCCGTTCTCTCCTCCTTAGACGCTCTCTTTTGAGCAGAGTCCCTAGCTTATCTTTTCCCTTTTTCCCCTTGACCGGAACAGGTATCATCTCCAGCCCCATCAGCTTTGCAACCACCCCTGTCTTGCACCAAATTACACTTTCTCCAGCCACCGTCCGAGGCAACCGTTTTGTCTCCAAGCTCACCTGACTTGATCTCTTTGATGTCCGTTGGTCCCCGCAGTGGGATTTCCGTCCACCTTGTATCGTCAGATCAACACTGGTACCAAGCTGGCGCCGGAATGATGACCGGTACATTGCATCCTTACCGTCCAGCGAGAAACGTGGATACTGATTCAGTGCGTTCCTCGCAGACCTTAACGAGGGAACACATGTAATACATAAGTTAGATATACAAACAAATGCAATAAATCATAATATAGAATAGATAATCAAACGTTCTGAAACTATATAAGTTTTGTTGTCATATAACTTATTTCGTAAATCGAAATCTAAACCGGTGTGTATCTCATGTAACCCACAGGCACCAATTTACTTTTTCTATTGAATACCATATTATGATAGATAAAAACAAAATGTTAACGATTCGTAAGAGGTCATGATGAGTCCTCGTGAGTATATATGATCATGAGTATTTACCATGTATACAAATAAGCATGACGCACCTCAAAATATCGGAACTGTTAACGCATGACATCCGAACGGGCTGATGATATAACGTATCATCATCTTGATCATCATCATCGTAATTATCATAAGTACCGTAGTAAGATTCACGAAGTCTAGCTCTTCGAACAATATCTTCTTCAACCTCTAGCTGAAGTATCATCTCCTCTAGCGTTCTTGGCGACCCTCCACTAAAAGGAGTGTTTTCAGGAGCAGCCGAAAGGCCTACATCATTCTTTTCATGTTGGTTTAGTGTAGAGGTCGAGTCATCTCCGCCACAAGAGCTCCCGAAGCCGCTTCGTGGACCTCTTCCTCGCATTTTCGAGGCAATAGAGTATTTCTTGAGGAAGAAGAGAGAGAGATCTTTCATTGTTTTGTTTGGGATATTTTCTTAAGGATTTGAAAGTGATGGAGAAGGAGAAGAAGCTATGGTGGTGCGTTGTGTGATAGGAATGAATACGGGGCTGGTGCCTGGTGGGAGATATAGTTTCTTTAAGTTTTGGGTTAAATAAGAATTAAGTTTATTTTTGACGTTTTAATGAGTGTCACGTAGGAAAGTGTCATTGGTGGTCACGAGTTTCTCTTTTTCTCATCTTTCACGTAGTGTGTGATACTTAAATGGTTCGTTTCTCTTTTTATTTCCGATTCATTCTTTTGAAAATTTTCTTATCTGAAATAAAATTGTTTCACATATATAGTACGTTATTTATCCAGTTCACTAAAACTACAAAAGATAGTAGAAGTAAAGATTGTAAATTTCAAAAATTTTGGGAAACAGTATAAGAAAGAGATATGCCACACAAGGGTCTTACTAGCTCTGATGATAATTACTTATTCTAACATGCATCAAACAATGTCGTCGCCTAAACACTCCCTATAATACTTACTACGCATGTGCATAGATAATAAGATCAAACCCTTATTGCTGAAATAGCAATCATATGATAGAAACAGTTTTTGTTGAGAATATCTTTGTTGGCAGCAGCTCCAATTGCGTACCGTTTGAAGAGCTTACGGGTCAGGTCAGGACCGAGATAGGCCTCAACAATCGGCTTTAAACCGGCTTGAGCATAGTTAGCCCTGGACCGACCATACGAATCCGGATCTTTCATCAACTCTTCCTGTTTACCATTCATGTGGTCAGCTATTCTCAAATTTTCCGTTTTCTCTATCTTAAAACCACCACAACGATCAATCGCCGACGCTATCTCCTCCGTGCTTCTAAAGTACACGGGAATGTTGAAACCATCTCTTTTCTCCTCCTCTATCAAACCCTTTACAAGCTCAAAAAGAGACTTTTCGTCATTCCCATTTCCATATATATATATATAAAACATGAAAGGCTTAAAAAAAAGAAGGTAACAGTATGATTACCTCGTCTACTAGATCTTGCCAGGCTTGATCCATCAATGTTGTGAAAGGGTGCTTGAGACTCGAGTCAGGGTCACCGATTTGGCTCACTGAGCCAGAAGGTCGACCCCCCATCAACATGAACAGCACTCCTCCTACCACAATCTCCTCTTTGCGACATTTCAAGAACTCGACTAAGTCCTTGTCTGATTGCTCCCCGTATGCCTCCACGACTTCTTTCTCTGCTCCTTCGATCCACACCCTTCCCTTGTTCCATGACTTCGATCCTTTCTCCATCACCTTTTCGGGTATCTATCATATCCAACACAAGGAAATGAAACATGCATTTTCCGTTTTTTTTTTTTTTTTGGGTGGGTAAAATTGAAACATTATTGTATCCGTATAAGAAGACTGAAGATACATCAAAAGAATAAAATCAGCAAAAAAAAAAAAAAAAAAATTGGTTCGGACTTTTATCAATTGTTGTTGGTTTTGAGATATCCATTATCGTTCAATAACATTATCTAGAAAAAAACGATCATTATATTATTCTAATAACCAATATGAATCAACTTTAAATATGTTTTTTTGCCGATACTAGTTAAATACGTGTACCAAACTGTTCAATACCACCTTCATATAATTCATCAGAAAACATAAGCAGCGGATAAAGTAAAATGTAATTCAAAAGATGATACATAATATAGTTTTATATACCTGGGAGAGCCATTGTAAGGCGCTCATAGTCACAACGACATGGAGCTGTCCTTTTGGAAACAGCCGCTTGTAGAACGACCCCGGAACGCCAGCCGCGAAGTACTTCCGGATGGAACCATTCATCACTTTCTCATCCAAGGACCGAAACAACGTGTTGAAGTCATTAGTAGGCAAGTCAGAGAAGAAGACCTCAAACTCCGGCTCGCTTCCGTCGTCATCCACGGCCAGCTTCTGCCGTAACACCTCAACCACCGTGTCGATCGTGGAAAAGGTGTTGTCTCCGATTGCGCAACCTAAATCGGCTATCTTCAAGTGGAAGAAGGAGGAGGAGGAGGATCCTCTGGTAAGCTTGATAGAGCGGATGGCTGAAGTCAGCATTGGTTTGCTCAAGGCTAAAGCTGCGGCCGGACCGTAACAGTTATTCACGTAGCTGACGTCATCATCGCCACCTTGCATGGAGAGCACGTGCTCGAGGCTCCGCCAAGACTCCATGTTTTTAGTTGTAAATGTGTGAAAACGTTATACTAATACTATTGCTTAAATAAATTAAAAGGAGGATCTATTTGGTTTTAGAACTTAAATGACTCAAATGAGGATCAAACGTCTATATATATATATACTCAACAACATTATCCATTCAAAGGCTATGGCGTCGTCGTTTTAACTTCAATTTAAGACATCATTTTTAACTTCATTTTAAGACATATATAAACAAGTCCTTCAAATAAAAAAATGTTGGACTGCATTAATTTATGAACAGTTTTAAGAAACACATATATATATAATATTTATTTTAAAATGACCACTAAAAACTCTATAAATAACATTTGTGGTTTGTGTTAATCAGTTAATGTGGTTGCTGTGTTACTATCCGGTTTTAAACTCATATATGATTTAATAAAAGTCTGAAGATATAAAATAAAACTTTAGATCTGTAAAGAGTTGTTAAGAGTGTGTACAATACTATATCAATTATCAAGTAATCTAGTAATGATTTATATAGAAACTTTTCCAAAAACCTAAAATATAATAGTTTTTAGTATGAATATATAGTCAGTGGTAACCAAGGAAAGTTGCACAAGTATACGTGGATCAAGTCGGATAAACCTGTTGAGCTGAGATTTTGCATATTATATACGGTCCATTGGTTTATAGTAATGTTAGTCTCCATGGATGAATTATAGTTGATTGGTTTATGATTTAATTTTTATATATAACGTGAGAAAGAAACATTGCAGAAAGCATTAGAGAATAGAGAACCCAAATCTTAAGTGGAGATGTTTTTGGAAATGTTTTTGGAGACTTCCATCAAAAAGTAAAGGCTCCTCTATGTGGAAACAGATGCTCAATCTAAGAACCATAGCAAAATCATTCCTCTCCTGCAAAATTGGTGATGGTAACTCTTGCTCCTTTTGGTTTGATAATTGGACTCCCTTTGGGGATTTAATCACATTCCTTGGGCCTGGAGCTCATCAGAGAATGGGACTCCCTCAAGACTCTACTGTGGCAAAAGCTCGTTCCCGGGATGGATGGAATTTCAGAGGCGCCCGTAATCTTAATGAAGAGCTCCTTCTCAGCCATCTCGTAGGCACTGTATTTAATGAAGACGAGAAAGACGTTTTTCTTTGGGCAAGACCGAATGATGAGCCACAAGAGCGGTTCAGTTTCTCTGGAACTTGGCAGCTTTACAAGCCTGTGGGTCAGGAGGTACCTTGGCATAAGCAGGTATGGTTTTCAGGCGCTATTCTCAAGTACTCATTCACCATGTGGATGTGCTGCCTTGACAGACTACCTACTCTCTCGAGGCTCAGAAACTGGGGAATTGTGGAGGATGACTCTTGCTATCTTTGTGAAATATATTTCGAAACAAGGCATCATTTTTTCTTGAGATGTCCATATAGTTATGACCTGTGGCGATGGTGCTTTGCAAAGTTGCATCTGCCTTTCACAGGTTTCACTACTTGGGATAATTTCCTTCTTTGGCTGAAATCCCCTACTAATGAAGTGAAGTTGGGGACGTTAAAGCTTTTAGCAGCTCAGACTGTGATATACTCTCTGTGGCATGAGAGGAATGCACGTTTGTACACCGGAACCCGCACCCCTGTTGAAAGACTGTGTCTCCAGCTTGATAAGCGTATTCGTAACATTTGCTCGGCAAGGAACAACATCCCAAAGCTCCAAGGCCTGCTTCAGCTGTGGTTTCGTAATTCTTCTCCTTTTTCTACTTCCTAATTATTATAATTATGTATTATTTTTGTACCGGGTTTGTTCATCCCGGATTACATAGTTGCTATGGCACCTCTACTATATCAATGTAATCGGTATCGTTATCTTAATATAACAACAGAAATTTTAAGAAAAAAAATAGAGAACCCAAATTTCCGAGAAGGACAGTATATTAAGCAACTTAGAAAGTTTTTAACATTTACAAAATTTTATGTAGTAGACGCTTTCAAAGTTTTATGTAGTAGACGCTTTCAAAGTTTTTCAAAATCTTTCTTCAAGTATTACTAAAAATTGTATGAATTATTATGAAATAATGAAATATATGTCGCTATCTATAGAGTCTAAAAGAGATTAGCAGTTGGTTTGACGAAAAAAGAGAAAAGATTAGTAGTGAGATTAGCAGTTGCGTTTAACTTTGGTATCTAGAAAGATGAGTTGATGGTTTATTTTTATAAAACCAGTCGTTTTCAGTCGGTGTCCACTAAGATTATTTTCTTCTTTTTGATATATATACATACAAATACATACATTTAGAGATATATAGGGATACAACGACATCTTATCTCCAATTAATGTTTGTAAATTATTTATAATTATTAGTATATTAGAATAACTTTTGCTATATCTATATGGTCTAGAGACATTTTACCATAGAGCGAAGTGTCACTTCGTAGATTCCTTATTCGGATTAATTTATCCACTAACAACAAAAACTTTGGTTCATTTTCTCCCATCCTAGAAACAAGAAAATATAAAAAAAAGAAAAAAGAAAGAAAGAAAGAAAGAAAGAATAGCTAGTGCATTTAGACAACTTGTTAATGTGTCACTTTCATTATTTGAAAATCGTTTGTTGTAACTTTTGGCAGTTGATTTCGGGAAACCTGAACATAGGTCTGTTATTTAAATACCTGACCAAATCCATCTTCTACTAATCAGTGGGCAAACTGAATCTTTATCTTTATTAGTTTTGTATAAACTGAAAAAGAAGTTTCGTGGTAAAATATGTCTATCAGTCTATACATGTAGATGTATCATTCCCATAAGTATGTATGATCAATACTCGCTTCTTCAAAGTCAAGGGGATGGAGAAAAAAGATCGAAGACCGTGATTCTTGATAAGATTATTGAACTAAGAAAAGAAACAAAAAAGAGAGAAAAAGTTAGCACAAGTCAAAAAGCATGTCGTTCGAATTTGACGAGATCCCATGATTATATTGTCGGATACATATTATTTGAACAATGAGGTTGGACAAATCAACCCATAGAATGAACTAAGCTTTTAAGAAGCATATACTTTGTAGGAAGGCTTGAATGACTTTAAGCATATACTTTGGTTGAAAGATATGAGTAAGGGAGCAGAGGCTGCGGCTGCTACAAGCAATTTACGATGTAATGATAGTCTTATCATAAAAGTTATGGTAGATATCTCCTTCTCTGCCTCAACATTTCACTTTCTAATGATATCACAAGCTTAGTTAAAAAGAAGAAGAAGATTTCTTGACCTAATATTAAAATAGACCTAATATTAAAAAAATACTGATTTCTTTGTATCATATATATTTAAAGTAAAAAGAAAATAGACCTAATATTAAAAAAATACAGATTTCTTGACAAAATAAAAATAAAAATACAGATTTCTTTTTAATTTTATATAAAACTATATTTGGGCAAAAAAAAAAGTTATATGGGCTAAAGACTTAGAAAGAAAGCCCAAAAGGCCAAGACTATATATTGATTCATGACCCGAATGTAAGATCCGATTTCAGAATTTGGGAGCAAGAGACAATGACTAGCGCCGGGAAAACATCGAGAGCGACATCAATGGCGCCTTCTTCGTCCAGCGGGCTCACGTTCAAGCTACATCCTCTGGTGATGCTTAACATATCGGATCACTTCACTAGGGTTAAGACTCAGCTCAACCCTCCCGCCGCTTCTTGCGCCACCGGGAATGGCTCCAGCAACGCCGACGCGATGTTACTGCAAAATCCTAGGGTTTATGGATGCGTGATCGGTCTCCAGAGTGGCCGTACGGTTGAGATTTTCAACAGTTTCGAGCTGTTATTTGATCCTACTACCGATACTCTCGATAGATCCTTCCTTGAGAAGAAGCAAGAACTCTGTAAGCTTTATATACACTCGCTCTCTTTAATCGTCTCACTTGGGTTCTCGATTGTTTCTGCTTATTTGTTGGTTTTGCGATTTTAGATAAGAAGGTGTTCCCTAACTTCTACATATTGGGATGGTATTCTACGGGAAGCGAGGCTACAGAATCTGATATGCATATCCACAAAGCTGTGAGTTGCAGATTTGTTGTTTAACATGTATACGACTGAATTTTGGGGTCTCAATGTTTTGTTGTACTGATTGTGTGAAGTTTTCATCTACAGCTGATGGACATTAATGAATCGCCTATTTATGTTCTTCTAAATCCGGCTATGAACCACGCACAGAAGGATCTTCCAGTGACTATTTACGAAAGCGGTAAATTGTTTTTCCATCATTTATTGTCTTATTGTTTTGAAGATTATAATCTTTTAACTTGATCCTGTCATTGTCTTCAAAACTAGAATTCCATGTCATTGATGGAATTCCTCAGTCGATTTTCGTGCATACAAGCTATACAATTGAGGTATGTGTTTATGCCACTTGATTTGTAATCTATCTATGTGATATGAGAGTGGACCTAATGATTGTAAACACGTGCAGACAGTTGAAGCTGAAAGAATATCGGTTGATCATGTTGCACATCTTAAGCCATCTGATGGAGGCTCAGCAGCAACACAATGTAAGCATTAGTATGCCCTCTGTATTTATCGTCATCTTTGTTTTTTTCCATTTACATTGAATTTAGGTTGATTCCCCGACGTTGTGCAGTGGCTGCTCATCTTACTGGAATACACAGTGCCATCAAGATGCTACATAGCAGAATCAAAGTGCTCTACCAATATCTTGTCTCTATGCAGAAAGGTATAATATAGTATTCTTGCTCAAGTCCCAACTCTTGGTCCCTCTATTATTTATTCATCAGGTTTCTGTGTGTGTTTTTCTACGGGGGAAGAAAAAGAGGGGTTAGAAGTTGATATTGAGCGAGAGTAATATGGTAGTAATGACTTGTGTGATTATGCATCTAGGTGATATTCCTTGCGAGAACTCCCTTCTGAGACAAGTATCTAGTTTACTCAGAAGTTTGCCAGCCGCAGAATCAGAACAGTTTCATGAAAATTTCTTGATGGTAAGTAGTGCCTTACCTTTTTCAAGCTATGTTGGTTAAAAGAGTGGCATTCAAATCTCTTCTTGTTTTTGTGAATTGATATCTTTGAAAATTTGATGTTTCCCTTTTTTTTTTGTAGGAGTACAACGACAAATTGCTGATGTCTTACCTAGCAATGATCACAAATTGTGCCAGGTATGTGCTCGACATGTTATTCCATTAAAATATGTGAAGATAAGATGGACACGCATGCAAATGTTTATCTTTGATGGACTCCAATGTTTACGATACCAAAGACTGATGAAATCACCAGTACTTGGTTTACGCTTACACTGATATAGCTAGTTTTATTTACTTGGTTTAAGAAGTAAATCAAGGACCTTTCTCAACCATCCTAGTTATATTAAGATAGTGGTCCCGTAGGAGCTAGGGGGATTTCAAATTTTCTTCTATATAATCTAGTCTTGTGCTATACCTTGACCAATATAAATGTCATTTACATTCCAACGAAATGTCTTGTAAAACTGTGATCTCTTACTTTCTTTTTTTTCCACCCGCAGCAACATGAACGAGGTGGTTGACAAATTCAACATTGCATACGACCGAAACAGTCGAAGAGGCGGTAGGACTGCGTTCATGTAAAGATTAGTTTCAGTGTAAAACCTCTTTTTCGGTGGGCTGGTCCCTAAATGAAAATTAGAACTCTTTTAAAGCATTTCACCTTTTGGAACCAAACAGCTAAGGAAGTTTTCCTCTGCTTAAGCTTTGTTTAGACAAAAGCTAAGTTTAGGTCTAACCAAATTTTGTGACAAGACTCGGAAAAAAACTCAATTTTTACCTTCCCTCAATTTTCAGAAGCACTTTATTTTAATTAAAACAACCCTTGAACCAAGAGATCTGTTTCATATCTGTGGTAATCTACTCATTATCTCTCTGTATATCAATGAGCTCGCTGACAATCCAAGTCCCTGTTGTGATACTGGTTCTACCTTGGGCTCTGCTGTTAACTGCAACATAAGGCCAGCTGGATCACCAATGTCAGGCGCCGGCAGGCTGGGAATGGAGAAACCTGAAGGAGGCCTCAGGTGTGGCTGGAAGTCAAATAGAGATGCGTTGGCTCTGACCAATCCCTCAGTTCTACTGTGTGGCACTGGATAGTGCACATTGTGGTTGTGGGTCTGGGTTGTTAAATTACCTTGGAGAGTCCCTGGAGTGCCTGAACCGGCATGGCTGCTGTTGCGTGCGGCTGGTACAACGTGGGTGTGCTTGCCTATATACGTTGTTAGTACGCTCTTGAAGTCATCAGAAGCTCTCTCGACATGTTTTGTTACAGTACATCCATTAGCTGTGCATTTATAGTAACTCCTAAAACATAGAATAGAGAATAGAGATCGTGATGGAAAATTCATGGACAAAAGATGCAACAAAAGGGAGAGCAGCAGAACAGAGCATTTGGATACAAGAACCTTGGATTCGGGTTTCCTTTGACAACTTTTTGCCCATACTTGCGCCATCGATAACCATCATCGAGGATGTCAATGTCACTTGTGGTCTGAACCACAACTCTTGGCTCACGGCTGGCTCGGGTTGATCCACTCATTTCTGCTGGATAAGCTTCTAGTTTCCTGATACGTGAATGGCATCAGAAGTCAGAACGTCGTGTCTTTCTTAGTTTTTAAATGTAATGGTGATTAAGGCAACTTTTCGTACCTTCTCTTTGACTCGGACTCATCTACTTCTCCGTCGTAACTCAAGGAAACACTCATGTGGGACGTCCGATCATCTTCATCTTCATCTCTAAAGAAGGCATTAGCTGCTGCATCGCCGAACCCGAACTGAATCCCGCTTTGAACCTGCATTGATCCAGAATGGCTTCCATATTTGAGTTCAGATGTAGGTGATGTCCATTCTAAGTTCTCATTGGTTCCAGCAAAACCTTCTTGTTCGGTTCCATCTACTTGCATGTCCATCCCCGTACCGGATGATGCAATCCCTGAGCGGCGGTTAGGTGGAGGTTTTGTGTGATTATGAGATCCTGCGTATATGATTTCTATAATATGACCCTCCCGAGACCTTTCAACCTTCTTCTTGACCTCGCAATTTGGGTGCGTGCACTTGTAATAACTCCGTGGATACTCACTTCCTTTGACTAGTTTCTGTCCGTATTTTCTCCAGTTGTATCCATCTTCTGCAGGTGCACCACTAGCCATCGAGTCTCCTAAACCGCCTAGTACCTGTCGTTGCTCATAGTCTTGGGACTTATCGGGTTCCAAAGCGATGTTTGTAGGATCAAGGCTACTTCCTGAAATGGATTGGAAGGCCAAGGATGTGGTAATTTCATCGAATAACTCATCCTTAGCCTTATCCGAAGGTAGAGATGAGAGTTTCCCAGTTGTTGGAGATGGCTGAGCTTACAAGTGAGAAAAGATTTCGGATAAGGATTCGCGAAAGAGAAAGACAATAATAACACAATGTTGGAAAGAAAAAAGTACATACCAATGGGTTTGAGAGGAAAACAGGAGACTCTAACAGTGTTGCAGGACTAAGACCAGGAGAAGAGATGGTTAAACATGTCGACTGAAGAATATCTTCAGTGTTTAAACTCGGTGCATTAAACCCGGATCTAGCTGAAATCCTTTCACGCAGAGCTCCTCCTGAACAACTTGTTGTCTTAATGTGAAAGCTGGTTTGCAAAGAATCCTCATTCATGATACTAAAGTCGAACTGTTCTCCCACTACAGCAGCTTTATTATCAAAATCTGCCATTACTTGACATATGGATTGTAAGTGACTCATTACCTTAAAATCTTCAGAACAGCTAGGTTCTTGCATGCTGATATAATATACAACGATGGAGATAAAAAGAGTGATAAATACCTGATTGGTTAATGCATGTTAGAAAATGAGACCGATCAAATATTGCTTTCGCCGTCTAGAGTTTAGAGTACTGTACGAGAGATCGAAACATGGGACTGGTCTCTCTTCCTCTTCCTATCTCTTCTTATGGGTTTGTTCACCAAAAGATGATATATCAAAAAGGAATATAAATAAATCTTGTGAAGTATAAGTCTTTTGCTCTCTCTCTCGTTCTTGATAATCGGTGTTACCCTAAACACAATGGAGATGTATGGCAAAAGAAAAAACTAGAGATTTACACAGCTTGGTTAGATAAATTTTCTCCTTATTTTTCTCAAGATCCAAACAAAAATTTTAAAATTATTTCTGCATTGTGTAAAAATATTCCACAAAAAGTTCACCAACAGTTTAACTATTTTTAGAAATGAACACTATTCTTCCTTTGATAGAAAAAGTTAACTATAAAACATTTAGTTCGGTTTTATACCAACCAAAAATAAACACACATTTAATTCGGTTTTAGTACTCAAACTCCGTAAAACTATTATTCATTTTTGGCCGTTTTTTGTAAAAATTTCTTTAGACCGGTAGTTTAGTTTCAACATATAAGAGTACTTTCAATGAGAGGTTCTAACATAAAAAAATTTCATATTAGAAAATAAAAATTATTGAAATGGAAGAAAGAGTGTGACAATAGGCTCTTAACATGGATACTTTAGAGCTCTATTAAAAACTCACTGGAACTCCACTAAACACATGTCCTAACTAGCAATATCTTATTTGTGTTTTTTTTGAAAGATAATATTTTATTTTTCTTTGTGGTGAATCTCTTAGTGTGTTTTGGATATGAGAAAATGTGAGATGAACTTTCAAATATTTATGATTTATGCGAGGAAGAGAACTTTCAAATCCGGCAAAACTTTGTGTAAAGTATGGACATTTATAATCTTAAGATACTTATCATCTTAATCTAATTACAAATAGACTAATTAGCGTAATCTAATTAATGGACCAATTAGCGTAAGTTTATGAGAAATCTTAAGATACATAATTTATCAAACTTGTAGACAAATTCCTATCTATAGCTAATAGGTCTGATCCATGATGAAGTTTACATTATAATACAGGATAGAACAAGCATTTATAATTAATCAAATTCCAATGAAAAAAAGTCATAACAATTAATCACTTAGACTACTAAGATACAAAAAAAGAAGAAGATATTTAGGTAAAAATTTCACCATGTAACTAAACTTATTAATTAGTTGAGACATTTACTAATATGGTATTTGCAATATATTTAGTTGACTACAATATTTGTGTGTGTGTGGCTAATATGGTTAAGTATTTCTTCTATGGTAAAACGAAAAATAATTCACTACTTATATACTTTTTAATTCAATTGTGGCAAGTTACTTGAAGGTTTGACCGGAATACTAGGAAAATAATGGAATAACAGAATAATATTAGTGAAACAAATTGAACTGAACAGTTTTTTTTTTTTTTTTTGACCAAAATTGAACTGAACAGTTTTTATACATGTAAAAGAAAAAGAAACAAATAAAAGTCCACCACTTGAAAACTATATATTATGATTAAAAAAAAAAATGATATTATTTTGAATGTGATTGGTCCACATCGTCCTAATGGTAGTAGCCTCCTAGGAGAGAATTGGAGATAATAGTTTTAAAAGTGCGGGAGACTGAGAGACACGCGAGGCGTTAAGGCGCGTGAATTAAAGATGAATTTAATAGTGCGGACGAAGAAGAAGATGCAGCTGACGTGGCGTCTTCATGCTTTCCCGTCTTTTTGCTAAATATTTGTAGAAAGAAAGAAAAGATTGATGCGAAGAACCCCAAAAATAATAAAATGAAAAATCGAAATCAGTGATCGATATTTTCGCCGGTGAAATCTGGAGATTGATTGAGAGAATTACAACTAAAACAGTGGTTCCTGTCCGTCGTCTGTGATCGTTGATCTCTGTTTCCCGTAACTTTGTTGACTGGAAAGTGGAAACTATTCTAGGGTTCTTCTTATTTGATGAAGAACTCAACAAGTGATACTTGACCACAGAATCTCCCATCAGATTATGTTTCCTATTCCTTGTACGTAATCAGACAAAGGAACCCTTTTGATCGGATAAGAGAGAGGTTAGATCTTCACCCAATCTTGGAACTCAAGATCCCATCATTTTGTTTGATTTTATCTCCTTTTCTTCTCGCTGTGTGACTGTGAACAAGGATTGGCCCCTAATATATAACAAGTTCGACTTGAAGCTGCTGCTGCTGCTGCTGTCTTCCTTTGTTTCTTCTGTCCACTGCAACAACCTCAAAACTTGTTATTTTTTCTTCTCTGAAGCTTCTTCCTTTGTGGTTTTGAGGCAAATGGTTTCGCTCCTACTGTGAATTCCTTGGAAATCACAACTGTGTTGTTAAGGGTTTTGTTATATATTTAGGGACAAAAGATGCATGCTAGGCAACGTAATCTTGGGAATGGGTACAGATCTGGTTCTATTGGAATGGGCATGTCTGCTTCTAGAATTTCCCCTGACCGTCCGATGAGAGGACATGGCTTCTATGGTTCTGACCATCAACACCGTGGGTTTAACCGTGGATACGGGCGAGGAAGGGGACGCTCTAAATCATACCATAATCAGCTGCCTCCCCCTCTGCCTCCTCCACCTGTGCAACGAAGAAGTGGTGGTGGCGGCGGTGATGTTTTCATGGAGGCTGGTCGTTTAGCAACAGAGTACTTGGTTTCTCAGGGTGTTTTGCCACAAACTGTGCTTTCCGGTAAATGGCAGAATGGTAACTTCAGGAAGCAGGCTGGAGAGTTTCAGAGTTCCAGGTCACAAGAAGCAGCTCGAATGGATGCTTCAGCTCCAACCTCAGATAAAAGGAGGTATATTGATGGCTACAGCTCAGCTGGCTCCAGGAATAGTTTGAAAGGAAGGAGGTCTAACCGTTACGATTCCGATTTTGGGAGGAGCGGATCTTGGTCAGAGAGAAGTAAAGCTTTTGAGGCAGATACTGGTGATAACTCTGTGTCTGGTCATCAAGAAGAGCAGCCACTTGCCGAAGATATTGCTAGTTCGGTTCAGCGGTCAGCCTCCGGTGAGTTCATGAGAAAGCGTGAAGGCGCAGGTGACTCCGAGTCTGTGCTGGACAAATACAATCTCCAGGATGAGGCACAGTCTAAGACAGGTTCCTCTAGTGCCGGGAAAGATATAGTACACGATTGTGAAATCTCAAAAGTATCCGAAGGTTCTTCTAGCATGAGTGCTGGATCGGGAGAAATGAAAGGTAGGTCTGCTGGTAATAATGGAGAGAATGAGAACCATACTGCTATCGAAGATGGATCTATCCATCAGCGTTGTGAAGATGCATCTATTGATCAACGCTGTGGAGCTGATGAATCATTTACCAAGAGTGACGTTGATTTGGCAGCGCTGTGTAAATTTGAGAAGGTGCCTACGAGGACACGCTCTTCTCTGACTGCGAAAGGCCCAAAGCTTTATTTGAGTCAAAATATCAAGGAAACCACTCATAATTCTGGACTCCTAGAAGAAAATCAAACCAAAAATCGATGTGAGACTCAAGACCTATCATCTGGAAAAGCCGATAGTACTGGTGATGATAACATCAATGACCGAGTTGAAGATTTGGCTCTTGTTCAATTTGTTGAGAACAGTAAATGTCATAGGTCTAATTCTTTCCCCAATAGCAGTCTCAGGGATAATATTGAGAAAGATTCAGGATTAGAATTGCCTAATCTGCACAGATCACATTCGGTGGGGAAAGTAGGTGAGAAACGGGATGCTGAAGACAGTGAATTGGAGGAGACAGCAAAAAGACAGAGAGATTGGGTGCCTTTGCCAGTTTCTGAAGCCAATGAACGTTTCAACGTATTTAAAACAAGTGAAACCCAATGCAAATCTGAAGAAGAAGAACAGATAAGCACGTTCAACAAAAGACTGATCGATGCTGCGAAAAGGGTCAGCAATAGGACACACACGGGCAAAACAGGTCCTGGGTATGCTGAAGAACATCAGCTGTTTCCTGCTTCGTTTAAGATCTGTGACCTAAATCTAGGGGGAGCGTCAGATGTGAATGATGGCAAAAGGGAATCTGGTAAAGCTGTTGATTTTGATCTCTCAATCAGCAATTCTAGTAAGTCTCTTGAGTTCAGTACCAATACTCGGATGAGCAATGGAAAAGAGATAGAAGTGATTGATTTGGATGATGATTCCCCAGAAGTGGTAAAGTCCAGCAATGATCCAGGAAGAAAGTACGGCTAAGTCCTACTCTACACGTATATATACACCCATTTTAAACATTTTGGCTAATGGGTTATTTTTACTAACAGGCAAGAAGCTGCTCCATATATGGGCATCAATGATGTTCCAGACTACAATGAAGGGCTCATGATGGTAGAGTTTCTTGATTCCTTTGGAAACATTCCTCCAATAAACCCGGGTACCAGTAGTGTGCCACAGAATAACAATGCAGTTGGCCTTCAAGATCGAGAGGTACTTGCTCTACTTTTCAAGTGTTAGGTCACAGTAGAATTGGTTTTGGTGCTAACTTCCTCTGAAAACGTCTCAGGGGGCTATTGGGAATGACCAAGTACCAAGTAACACAGACGATGATTCGATATTCATGTCGCTGGGCGAAATACCACTGAGTAAGACCACACACAACAAACCCATCAGTTAACTATTTAGAGTGTTTCTTTTATCTTTTGTTATTAGCTTCATATAGAGCTGATTCGCTCATTATGTGTGTGGCAGCATTCTTGCAAGCTTGGGACCAACCTCCAGCTCGAGGCTATGAGAAGCCTTTCTGATTCGCCTTATACTGTATTAAATTTCTCTCTCTATCTCAGTGTAATGAGTGTGTAGCCATCTCGATTGCGCTAATCATCTCGGATGTAAGATTATGACTTATGGTCTTTTATGATCGTAACCTTGTAATTTCTGTGTTTATTCTCCACTCCAGTGTCCCATGTTTTAGGTTAGTTGAGAGGTTTCATTCAACTTTACATCACTGTTCCAACAATTTCTCTGACTTGTAAGATAAACAAAGCCCCAAGGCATTATGAAATTATATTTGTAGGAAACGGTATACTGTATTTTTTTTTGAGGTGTTCAATCTCACGGTAAAAAAATTGACTAAGTTGATGCTGAGAGGGCAGACGATTTAGCCACGTGTTTTATTCCAACAACCCAGACGTGTATGTTCGGTTTTTATTTTCTCTGAAATAAATAAAGAAATAACCGAATTTTCAATTTTTTTTCTAAAAGGAAGAAAGTTGATCGTGAGGAAAAAGAAAAGGAATAAACTTTTTTCCGACAATGAAACATTTCACATTGAAGGGGTTAATATAGATCTGCGAATCCGATCATCGAATCGGATTAGGGTTTTCACTTTTTTCATCTCTCTGTCTCTCTCCGCTGCTGTTTGCGTTTTCGCACCCTTTTCTCCAAAACTCGCGTATGTTATCCTTCCGTTGAGCTTGTTGGATTCGAAATTTTTGGAATGATTGCTCTTGATCTGGTAGATGTTGGTGGCGCATGGTAGGAAATTTCAGACCTTTATATATCTGTGTTATTATCTAAATCGTGAAGGAACGAATGAGTTTTGCAGCTTTGGGCAGTTGACTTTTGATTCCGCTTGAATTGAATTTTGGGATCTTCATTTCGTGTTTTTGATTTTGAGCTCCCGTTAGTTCTGAAACCGATGTGGTTTTTGTAATATTGAGAATTTTGGGGGAGTTGATGGATTTGGAGAGTGAAAGCTCTGCGCTTGAGTCTGTTGACGATAATGGTTTGATTCAACAAAGTGCCAGCAACGTTGCTGATGATGATGGTAGGAGTTTTGATAACGGCTCTTTCTCTGATGATAGTGTGAAACTTGTTTCGACTTCTACTTGTGTTGAAATCGGTAATAAACCCGTGAATTTTGATTCACCTGGTGCTGGTGGTTCTTTCTCTCCGGTTTCCAAGGGACAAGGTTTGAGAAAATGGAGACGGATCAGGAGAGATCTTGTTAAGGACACGTCTGCCAATATGGACAATAGCAAAGTTTTGAAAAAGAGGTTGTCAGGTGTTGCTCACTCACATGGTAAACAGATGCTGTTTCAGTCACCAGAAGTGGAACAAGGGAGTCAGGGATCTGTTGGGTCTGTGAATATGATGAAAAGTACCGGTGATGGTTTTGATATACTTGGGAGTACGAGTTATGACTCTGGGTTTGTGGCAGCGATTGGTTTTTCAGCTGGTATGGATTTAGAAAAGGATGATGATCGGAGTAGTAAGTCTTCCACGGCTGCAAGAGCTCCCAAGGTTATTAGGTATGAGAAGCCAATGATTAGTTCAGGTCAGAGAGGAAACATTCGTGTAGAGAATAGTAAGAAACATAGAGGAGAAAGGGTTGATATTGAGAAGGAAAACTCTTATTCCAGCTTGGAATCCGATTCAAGAAAGCAGAGTGGAAGAATGATGGACTACAACAATGGCGATGAAGCCGGTATGAATGGGGAAACTTCAATGAGAAAAGATGATGCAGGAGGAGAAGGAGAAGAGTCAATAAACACGAACAATCGTTATTCAGAGGAACTGGATCCATTAACAGAGGCCATGGATAGTTTCTTGGCCTTGCAAGATGCTCTTGGAAAAGGTAGCAATCTTAACTTGCACTATTTTTACTGCTGTTTCCATACCTATTTTTTTTATTATGAGCCTGCATTCTCATGTTGGAATCTACTGATAACATCACATGAGAAATGATTTATCATGTTTAACGTGACACTCTATGCTATTCCATTTGCAGAGGTTCAACAATTTCAGGAGATCGGGAAGGAACCAATGCTACAACATCATGAACAAGCCAGCGAAGTAAGTTCACCTCACTCGGAGATTGTAACCCTAGTGAAAAATGTTGAACAACTGGAGATCAAGCTAGAAGAAACAAGGTCCTTGCTTGAGGTGAAAGAATCACACATCCGTGAGCTTGAATCCACCACAAACCAAAACAAACACTCGTGGGGAGGAACAGAGACCGTGGTTGAAGATATCTTCCGGCAGAAGGTTGAGGCCGAGATTGAATATCTGATATATTCAAGATCTATTGATAGCTTGAACAGTCAGATGAAGTTGATTGATGAGCAAGAGTCATTGACAGAAGAGCAAACCCATGAGACGCTGAACAAGCTAGGAAAAGTACAAATGAAGGCTGCAAATTTAACAAACAGCGCTCAAGAACTGCAAAACGAGTGCGTAGAAATCACTGGAACCATCAAGAAGAGAGCATGTAAGATAACTACATGCTTTCTTATACAGTTAGTATTGCTGCTAACAGTAATTTTGTCGTTCGTGTCTCAATTGTCGCCGGAGCTAGATTCTGTTGTACCCACATGACATTTGATTTTTGATTTAAACTGAGTTTTGTTTTTGGCTTTTGGTTTTTCTTGTAAAACATTTCGGCTATTAGTTTTGCCTCTGGTAATAATATTAATCAAAGATAACTCTTGGTTCCTCTTGTGTTTCGTTTTCTGGAGATCAAAGTAGTATTTTTACACTTGGTCAATAACAGAACAGTTTGAGAATTCTATCTATTTTGCTAGCTAATATGGTATCAACGTGCAATCGCTGGTTAGCTTTCACTTTTCTTTGATTGATCAAGTCAGCACTAAGAAAGCGAAAACAGCAGAGATCAACAGCGTGATGAGACGAAGAGGGGTCGAATCAGCGGTTGAGGCGTTTAGGTTTGGTGAATAGAGAGGTGGTATAGGGCAAACAAGCCCGTCCCTCCTTTCTCTGCACTCGTTAGCAAAAAGACCAGTAGGGTAGTTGCCGTAAATATTCATGTAGCTGAACATTGTCTGTGCACAATCACTATTCATGTCATTGACCTCACTCGCGTAAGGACATGCAAACTCTTTAAACGCCGAGCAACATTCTTTGGCTGGAAACGGTGGACCTTTGCACCGCCTTGTCAAGGCCTTGTAGTCCATATACTCAAAGTTAACTTCACATTCTGTTTCCAACCAAACAAAGTCAAGAGTGCAGTGTCACACCACTTATATATAACACAAACTTGATATTCCAACCAATTAGATTTGATGAAACCGAATTTTTTATATAATCCGAACCAAGCAAAAGAAAAAAAAAAGCTTAATTAAAGAGAAAAATAATTAAGGATACAATTTTAGTATCGTTACTAATATTAATGAAGCAGGAAAATAAAAACTGAAAACGTTATTAAATCCATCTTAAACATCTCATGTTTATTTTTTTATTTTATTTTTAAAAAAAAATACTTTGTAGACATGGTCAAATTTCATGCACGATGTTCACTACGAGACATCATAGTCCTCACAGGAAGCCAAGTTATACAAGACAAAACAATGGACTTTAATAAATAGAACATAAAATTTGGTGTTTTCTTTTAAAAAGATTCTGAGAACGATCACAAAAATACCATTAGATATTGAAAATCAAGATTGGACTGAGCAAATTTGGTTTTGTTTATGAGTCCATCATGTAGTATACACTAATACAGACACCATATCATGAATGAATATTAAACATGTCAATGCGTGATTACTCACACATCGGCTTACAAAAAGGGAAATCGAAGAACAATCAAATTAATTAAAAAGGATACGTTGTTACATACTTACTTTTCTTGGCATGAAGGAGATTCCTTCCACTAACCGAGGTCTGATATTCGAACACGTTATCTACAGTAATAAAGAACCCAGTGTATAGAATGATTTTGTTAATTAGAATCTCCATATAAACCCAAATATAATAGTATGAATTATATATAAATTCAGAGAGATAAACAAAAGAATGATGCATGGGGGAATAAATTATGGAAGACAAATACAAAAGACACACCCGAGATGGAACTTGAAGTGGATAGAGATATCATCAACAATGCTATCACAAGGAATAATAATGTCAGTTCCATGAAATTCTTCTTTGGTTACATGAGCTGAGAATGAATACTCGACCAAGGTTTTTTCTATTTTTATTTTCGAAAACTTTTATTAACGTGTGTCCTAATTTAAACGGTAGTTGTTTTGAAAACGCCCGAGAGTAATTAAACAACTAAAAATGAAAAAAAAAAACAAACCCTTGGAGTTAATTTATGTTTTTTTTTTTTTAAAACGTTTTGTACTTTGATATATATTAATTCACCTAACAAAAGACTAATGCGGTAATGCCTTTTTAATATACGCTTGGATAGTTGGATACTACCGAATTTGTAATAAGTCAATTTATATAAGACGTTGGTGATTTATTTATTTTGAGTTATTGGTATGCATGTGGTATAATGAACTTAGATTCATTTAACGTTTATTCTAATTTTGATTCGAATATATAATGTTTGAATGTGGTTGCTGATCTGATATAATTAACTAAATTAAATAGCAACTTGGATAAAAGTTGCTTTATCAAAAAAAAAAATAAAACTTGGATAAAAGTTGACAAAAATATAATTAAATGCGTTATGGATAAAAATTCTATATAAAATTTTCATTATAAAAAAAATTTCCAATGGTAATCGAATGCTGATCACAAAAAATAAAATAATGGAAAAGATCTTCTCTAATTAATAATTATTTAATATCCCCCTAGACTTAAAATTTCCCTATGTCAAAAAAGTAAGTCCTCCCATGCATTCACATATCTTCATTGTTTAATTCTTTTTTGATATTTTTAGCCACTGGTAATGTTGGAGTTTTCGTATGAGAATATCCTACCCCTACGTGCCAAAACTTGAGAAAAATAATAATTTTAAAACCAACATAATTAAACACACACAATGATAGATGAGATTTCTTTTTTTAAATTGTTTCTATGTGAGCTCACTACGCCATATCACCTCATTTCAGTTCAAAACCAACCTTAGTTTAAATGTTTTAAGAAAAAAATCTAACTATTTTTATGCTTAACATTAATTCAAACTGATATAAACATATATGATCCTAGCTAGACAATCCATATATATATATATATATATATATGGACATGTCAAAAAAATAAAAAAAACCAGACACCACAAATTAAAGGTTTTAGAAAACAAGAGTCATGGAAGAGAAGACAAATGAAATCCATAGAAGTAGGAAAACTAGATTTCATGGCGAAAACAAATGCAATGGAGTATTTTCTGATGATGATGAGTATGTTCCCATTGATCTAACGAGGGAGATAATAATGAAACTGCCTGCAAAATCAATCTTGAGATTTCGATGTGTATCAAAGCTATGGTGGTCGATCACCACCGACCAAGATTTCATCAATTCGTTCGCATCGATTCCTCGCAAAAGTCTTCTCATCACCTTCAGACAATATGATACAACACAAATCTTCTGCTCGCTTCCATTGGATGAGAAATACATCACAACTTATTCTGACGTGAAAAGTTTTCATTTCACTCCCCCTAAACAAGGCCGGTACGAGTACCATGCAAACTCTGTCCATGGATTGATCTATTTCCAAAATAAAACAGAGGTACTAATTTGGAATCCCACCACGAAAGACCATGTAACCTTGGCCAAGCCTACTGAAATGTCATCGTGGGTAACAAGCTTCCTAGGATATGATCCAACGGAGAATACATATAAGCTACTTTCGCTGGGATATGGTACTTGGAACCGGGACAAATACAGAAAGCCACAAATTCTTACACTGGGCTGTCAAGAATCATGGAGGGTGGCTGAGAATAGCCCTCTACACTATCCTAGAGATTTTGTGCATTTCATCAACGGAGTTGTGTATTATAAGACAGATTTATCCCCTGACTGCACTAAGAAATTCATTATGAGTTTTGATGTGAAGTCAGAACAGTTCAAATCAATCCAAATGCCTGGTCATGTTGGATCAGGGTCTGATAAGTTGATTAGTGAATCTATAATGAGCTACCAAGGGAAATTAGCATGGGTTTGCAATAATTTAGATTTTATCAAGATATGGGTTTTGCAGGATGCTGAAAAACAAGAATGGGCATATAAAGATATTATTATACCTTTACCTCAGAGAGATTTGGTAAAGAGTGGTAATTTGTTAATAAGTGGGACTGATGCTGGTGAATTTATCTATATACCGATCAACATAAGCTTCAAGGATATTTCTGCTTTTTATTATGACCCGGTGAGAAACAGTATCCGAAGTGTCAAAGCACTTGAATATGATCAATTTAGGCGCTTTTATGGATCTTGTAACGACCATATGTATAGTCTCGAACCTCTTCCGGATCACATCGAGAGTCTCGTGTCTCTTAAGGACATTATGTCTTCTTCACCACCGGCCTTTGCGTGATTCTTTCATCTCTCTTTAGCTTTTCTCGTAATCGTGTGTAGCTTATATTTTCTTAGTTTTGTAATATCCGCACCATTCCTGCTTTTTAATGAAAACTTTTTTTTTTCTTTCTGTCAGTTAAGTTAATACCTTTTTATATTGAACCTAATATTTATGTTTTTTCAACAAAATCTGTATTGTGTTGTATGGCCACGCAATTCGTGCATATGTTTAGCCTCATAATTAACCTCTAATAAATTTTTAACAATTCAACCACTAAACATGTACATACATTAACAATTTTTTAGACTCAATAAATTAAGTTACTCCAAAATTGTAACTATGCAAATTTATATATTATAGTGTACACAAAAAATGTTTGATTGTGCACAAAAGTACTATTGGGTCTAAATGGTAACATATATGTTTGTAGGCAATATATATATATATGTTTTGTGGAATTTTTAAGGAAAATTTAAGGAATTTGGAAGAAAAATGTTGTTACATAACTTGTAAACTTGAGGAACTGGTGAAAATTTTTGAGGAATTTTTAGATATTAGTTTCTTCTTTTTTTCTTTTTCCATTTTAATTTAAAAATTCAATTATCATTGGAACTACTATATAAAATCTATATAGTACTATTTGATCTGTACGCAAGCGTTGCTAAACAAGACACTGAGCTGATAAGAAGCGGGGCGTGTTTCACCCCAGTCATTGTTGTGTGGATGACACGTGTCTGAAACTGCTAGCTTTTATTTAATTAACCACACAAAAAAATGATATTCTATAAGATAAATAAATAATGTGTTTTGTTTTTAATTTGTCTCTACGATTCGATATATTTAGATATGTCTCTACGATTTGGTTTGAAAATACTGTATGACAAAAATGAATTGAAAAAAGAATATATATTTATAATACTTATAGTTTGGATGAAACCCTTGACTTTCTACTATCATATTCTAGTCTTTTAATTTCCTTTGACAATTTGGTCATCATGCATCGTAATTAGTGTGTTTGGTGGTTTCTTGGAATAAATATGAAATATGGAGGACCACCAATTACACCAATCAAAATTATCTATTTCTTTTCTGACCCTTTAACCAGGTCACAGAATCAATGATCAATTTGATTAAGTAACAAATACCTAATGTCAAAACTCAAAAGAACTAAGTCATGAGTGTATATATAGGATAGTACACTAATTAAACTCTTAATTACATGTTTAACTAAATGATCTCGTCAGAGTTTCGAGGTTTTTACTGAAAATGAAAGCATCAGACCAAAAACTTAACCAAAGGGAAGGACCGAAGTGATTGATAACGGCTAGAGTTAATTTATTCTTCCTACTTTTTTTTTTTTTCTTTTTTTTTTTTTTGTTATTAACATGAAACAAAGAAAGTAACAAATAAAAGAAGTGACTTAAGTAATTCGAGTTAATGATGCACAAAAAGAACAAAGGGACAAAGTCGTGATCCGTGACGGTCAAATGACTCTATTCGACGTTCCCTTTCACCACCATTTAGTATTTACATTCAATTCCTATAAACAATATATGATTAAAGGGTATATACAGACAGATCTTCATTGTTTAATTGTTTCTGTTGATTAGTGTGTATTTTGGTACTCCTTTTGAAAAAGACGAGTTAATATGATTAAAAAAGAAATCCCACAATAAACAACACACTATCTATATTATATTAAACCTGATCTTTTACTCAATGTGGTTTAACCACATAACCATATATTTGAGTTCAAATCCAATAGTTTCTCTAATTAAATGTTTTGAGGAAACAAATCTAACCTATATGCTTTAAATTAATACAAACAGATATCCACATGAATATTGTATGATGCACCTACATATATCAACGTAAATGAAATACACCCAAGAAAATCAAAACTAAGATTAAAAAAATAAAATAAAGGGTTTTAAAATTAGGAGCCATGGGAAAAGGAGAAGAGAAGATACAAGTAATTCATAGAATCACAAAATCTTCATCAGCTTGTTTTCATGGCGACAACAAATACGATAATAATGAAGTATTTTCTGGTCGTGACCATATTCCCCTTGATCTAACGAGAGAAATACTTATAAGACTACCTGCAAAATCTATTTCGAGGTTTCGTTGTGTATCAAAGTTATGGTTATCTATCACCACCCAACAAGATTTCATCGATTCATTTGCGGTTCTACAATCATCAATTCCTCCCCAAAGTCTTCTTCTCACCTTCACCAGGGAAGATAACATGAAGACGCATGTCTTCTGCATGCTGCCGTTTCGTAAGAACTCTACAAGTTATAATGATGTGAACAAGTTTGATATGACGCCCCCTATCAAAGATTGTCGATACAGCTGCAGTAACATTTCTATCAATGGCTTGATCACTTTCAACACCAAGACAGAGACTGTAATTTGGAATCCCACCACGAAAGAACATATAACCGTGCTTAAACCTAAAACCCCTAAGCCCGTACGTAGCTTCTTAGGATACGATCCTAGGGAGAATACATATAAACTACTAACAATGTCATGTTCTTATATAAGACAGGAAAAATATCAAGACCCTCAAATTCTTACATTAGGATCTCAAGAATCATGGAGGGTGATCAAAAATAGCCCTGATCATCAGCCTCGAAGTGATTATTATTGCATCAACGGAGTTGTGTATTATAAAGCAGATATATCTTTCGCAGAAGATCGAGACGATCATAGGATTGTCCCTGCGTTGTCCAAAGCATTCTTGGCTATGAGATTGAAGGACATCATTATGAGTTTTGGTGTGAGGTCTGAACATTTCAAATCAATCCAATTACCTTCTCATCGTAGCCAATTTGAACCAAAATTTGAGAATACTTTAATGAGTTACCAAGGAAAAATAGCATGGGTTTGCCATAATTCAAATATTCTAAAAATATGGGTTCTGCAGGATGCTGAAAAACAAGAGTGGTCAGAAAATGAATTTGTTTTACCTTTGCCTATAAGAGATTTGCGTGGGAGTCGTTGGTTAAAGGGGGGCACTAGTACCGGTGAGTTTATCTATGTATGGGGAAAACTCATCAAAGACATTTCTGCTTTATCTTATGATCCGGTGAGAGAGACAATCACAAGTGTCAAGGGACTTGACTATGAGGAATTTAGGCGTTGTTATGGATCTAGTTATAACGATAGGATGACTCTTCCCAGTTATTACCCGGATCACATCGAGAGTCTCGTTTCTCTAAAACACATTATGTCTTCACCCTCTGTGTGATTACGTCTCTCATGTGTTGTAGGTTTTGTTTGTAATCCTTTTCTCCTTCTTTTTACATCTCATTCGATGAGGGTTGTTTTTAAGCTTAATGAAATAACTATTGGTTTTTTTTTTTTTTTTTTACATTGCAAGTTCTTTTATCTCTTTTACTGAACCAACGAAACAATCATTTTTTATTTTGAAATTCATGGATGGACAAAAGGAGAAGAGAATACAGAAAGATTTCAATACACGTACATAATATTCATCAATGTCTTTTTATGGTAACGATAATTAGCGGTATTAATCAAAGTCAAGATTAATGGTAACTAATTTTCATTATTGTAAATTAAGAACAATAATAGTCAGATAATTCAGAAAGTCAAACGAAGGTGGAGAGTTTTTGTGTTAAAATAATAAAACATCGATCGATGACATATTATGAATTAGCGTTTAATTTTTTTTTAAAAAGATGAGCAGTTACGTGGAAGCTTCAGCGTTCTTCACGCCATTTTATTACAAAAAGGCTTCTTTAGTTCTTCACGCCATTTTATTACAAATTCTTGAATTCTTCTCAAACATCAAAAATATTTTTTTTGTTTTCTCCTGATTAAGAAATCATTAACACTAAGCGGATCTGTGATTGCGTTTTGATCTCGTGACAAACAAGAAACGAACACGCAGGTTCTTCTTCTCTTCTTCCTTTTTGTTTTTCCCTTTCGTTCCTGATTCTTGTGTGTGACATTTATTGTCTGATGTGAAACTTGTCCTTTATCTATTATGTCTCGATTTAGTTTTGTATTTTTTTCCCGTCATTTATTTATTGAATCTAGATCTGGTCTTTGATTATCTTGGATTCAGACATCGTTTTGTATTTTTTGGACAATCAAGACGGTGAGCTGCCTTGTCCTACAAGAAACTAGATTTTTTGTTTGAGGGGGGAGGTGAAACTTACTACGATCCGATCTCGAAGCACAGAAAAAAATTAACCGAGAGACATGGGAGCTGCAGTGACGAAATCTGAATCTCTGCAAAAAGAATGGGTACCAGAGACAAAGTTAGAGGCTAAGATCATAGAAGCCGTGCAACGCAGGGCAACGAGAGGCACCGCTATGAAATCTTTCAACAGTATTGTTCTCAAATTCCCAAAGATCGATGAGGGTCTTCGGAACTGCAAAGCCATTTTCCAAGAGTTCGGTGAGTGCATACACCGGCAAAATTCTAGATTGCTGCTTTGTGTTTTTCTCATGATATGATATGGTTGTTTCCTTGGTTGGTTTGGGCAGATGAGGATTCCAACGGGTCTATCGATCACACCGAGCTAAAGAATTGCATCAGGAAGCTAGAGATCTCATTCGAGGAAGACGAGATAAATGATTTGTTCAAAGCTTGTGATATTAACGAGGATATGGGGATTACATTTACAGAATTCATTGTTCTTCTCTGTCTCGTCTATCTTCTTAAGGACGATTCATCCACTCTCCAAAAGGTAACCGCACAAATAATGTCATCCATCTTCTATGCTCACTTTTGATGTTCAGTTTAGAATTGATCGGTCTATCAGATGTTTGTGGTTTCTGAGAGCTTTTCGTATGATGCATAGAAATGGACGATGGGAATGCCAAAGCTTGAACCAACATTTGAGACACTTGTAGACACATTTGTGTTCCTGGACGAGAACAAGGATGGATATGTTTGCCGTGAGGAGATGGTCCGAGCAATTGATGAATCTGGAGAACGATCATCTGGGCGAATTGCAATGAAGAGATTTGGTATACTCCCTAGCTCTCTTTTTTTTTTTTTTGGGGCAAAACTCCCTAACTCTCTATATGTATAATTCCTCTGTTTTGAAGATTGCTCCTTCCTTGAACCAAATTGTATCAATATTTTATTCCTATGATTGCAGAGGAAATGGACTGGGACAAGAACGGAATGGTGAACTTCAAAGAGTTTTTGTTCGCATTTACGCAGTGGGTCGGGATAGATGAGAATGAAGAAGAAGAAGAAGAAGAAGAAGACAACAAAGAGAAGGCTTGAATTTTATGAGTTTCTAACTCTATATATGTGTTTTGTGTTAGTAGTAACGAAAGATACAAGTTGATGTTTAAGTAATGCAAACAGAATAATTCATTACCAACACACAAACCATGATGTTTTACCCAAAAACTGGCTTTAAGCAACAAAATTTATTAGTAGTCTCCACTAAAACAAATGAAAGAAAAGAACAAGCAAGCCAAAAATAATCTCGGACAGAGACAGCGACAGAGAAAGAGACTCGTCTCTTTGATTTGCCCCTAGTTCTGTCGTCTGAACCCTCTCCGGGACACGATAAATAAGATAGACACAGATTCATATACGACGGTTTTTTTTTTATTCCAGAGATTAGAGATGGTACCGGTAGCCCGAGGAAGAGGAGGATGATGGGATGGAGACAGAATCTCCAAAGCCTTCTTGTTTGAAGGAAGCGGTTACGGTGCATATATACCTTCTTGGAAAGGTGAGACAGGCAAGCATAAATATGAATTCAGGTGTGCTTTTAGCCCCTTGTCTTGGCTCTCTTCATGCCGAGGCTATTGTAAGGAGATATGGAACCAGACATTGGAGACCCTTCTTCTCGAAGACTACCGTTGAGAAGGGCCAATTCCCGTAGCTGTTGTTTCTTGTAGAAATCATGGGTTTCCTCCTAAAACAACACATAAAATAAGTATGATTATATAGATAAATATTATGTGTGTCTCTGATTTAAGATCTTTGAAGAGCAATGAACAAACCACGGGAGTAAGTAGATCGTCAAGTATTTCACGAGCTTGCATGAGACGTGCATCCACTATTTCAATCGGTAATTCTGCCTCGACTAAGATGTGGAGTGGTTCATTGAGGTGTTCATACCCTGGCTTCCCTCTCATCATTTCCTCCTGCAACAAGAAAATTATAGAATGTAAACACAGTTGGAGTCAAGGGTATTCTTATCTGAACACTTGAAAAATGTGATAACCTTAATCGGGTCTTTAATACTGCCTCTCCCCCTTATCAGAACACGGCAATCAGTACTTGCTTCAACTCGTTTGAGCGAGTTTCCTCTAGGACCCAAGAGGCGACCGACAAAATTGTACTGCAAATAATCAAATTATAATTTATACTTTGGCAAGATAATTTAGGCTCTCAGCAAGGAAAGTAAGGATACATACGTTTGGGTATTTGTCAACTGGAATATCCACCCTGATTGTCCGCTTGACGATTAGACCGGACGAGCTACCAGGAGAGTTTAGCCAATTTGGTGCGGGGGATGATGAAACAGATCTCTGCTAATCAAAAGATAAACCAACAACCTGTTAAACGCCATGTCAACCTTAATGCATGAGAACGGCAGACATATGATTGCAGCATCAAAACCAAGAAGAACATAAAATAAATCTTATCAAATGCTTCTTCCACGGATAAGGGGAAATGTATTGCACTGTCGCAACTTAGCAACCTGTAATTGCTTATCCTAATTCATAATATTCATAGAATAATTTGTAAAGATTAGAGCATGTTATATCCAATCCTTCACAGCTGCACCTAAAATTTATATGGCTCCTGAAGGTAATGGAATATCTAGTAACTGCACTGACCTAAAGTCAAAATCATTACTGATATACAGTGTTAGCCCTGACTGCCTGTCATAATGAACTATGATTAACCGTAAGTCAAAGCAAGTTATGTCAGAACGACTAAAGTCAAGAAATGCTTCTACTGCAATAGTATGAATTAGATGAAAAGAGTTATGTTAATGGTTAGTAGTCATACTTCTGATGGAAATTGTGAGGGCCATCCGTTCATGTCAGCTCTTGCATTCTGAAATATCCCTCCAGAAGCCAGAGGGCTAGGGTGATCAAACCTACTCTGACTTAAAGCATTCTCCAACAGCGTGGTTACACGCAAAATTTCTGTTCCAAAAAATGTCAATTTTCAAGAGTAAGACGCACCAGTTAGAATTAGTCAACAAATCCATCACCAACAATGATAGTGGAATGGAGAGACATCATAGTCTCAACTAAGTTAGTGAATATTAACGTTCACACTCTAGTTAAAAAAGATTGTAACAGACTGCAAGCAAGGACTATACACTAACTTTTGCTATGATCTCTACGAAGGTCACACATGTTATCTGTTCAATATCAGAAAGATTTTTTATGCGAGATTCCTATTACTATGAAACAAAACAGAATAAGAATTCCAAGTAACTGGATTTCAAGTAAAATTCTTCGAAACAAGATCAACATCAGTGGAAAGTCATTTCTAAACTCTACTAGAACAACAATTCAACTGAAATACTCCGCACTTGTCGTTGAATTTTCTTATTGGACAGTAAGATATCTTACTTACAGGGTTGTACATTTACTCTGTCATGTGTTTTTCCTACCATCTAACTAAATGAAAATGCTTGTCAAATGTACAACGATCATTGTTCTGAAGCAAGAAACGAAAATTAAAGAAGATTTTGTGAAGAAAGAAAGAAAATCTAATGATAACAGTATGGCTCGCTCACCTTGGTTCATCAGCCGGCAAAGATGTGGAAGCACAGGCAAAAATGGAGTAAGCTTGTGACGTTCTGCAAGTAACTCAGAAAGATACCTGCCAACAGAGAAATTGCAGATTACCCAAATTAGTGTGACCTTGAGCATACAAGAAAACAACAAGTTCCAAACATCAGCATCTAAGCAGAGTGGAGTATTATTTATAGCTTCATGAAGTCAACCATCACAAAACGGATACAACAGATGAGTTTATAAGATATTGAGGCACTAACAATTCATTACCCAATCGACAAAAGACAAACTAGGATTATAGAATTAGATAGTTGCTTTCAGATTATTAGTTTTTTTTTTCTTTTTCAAATTAGATAGATAGAATCCAGTGCACAGTTGAAGTAGATTGAGCTAAAAAGAGCTTAATTTGCAGTGGTGGGTATGTAACAACTCAACCATACATATTGAAAATCGAAGGGGGCATCAGAAATAGAAAGCATAGATCTCGGTACGAGAAACAAGACACAGAAATGATAAATACGAAACATAAACCAAAAAAAAAGTTTCAAGATTTGAGATAAAAATTAAGACTTTAAGATCCAAACCAGTAGAACAGAGATAATCAAAAAAGACAAGTCAACTAGAAGAAGAAGAAGAAGAAAATAAAAACAGAGATTGAATAAAATTACTTCTCTTGCTCAACGAGGAACGAAGGCTGTGATCGGAGACCACCACCAGAGAAGTTAGGTGACTGAGGAGCCGACGGAGGCACAGAAAGAGGAGGCGGATACGTAACGAATCTCCCTCCACCACTACCATTACCTCCGCCTCCACCACCACCAAGTGAAGTCATCATCATCATCACCACGACGGCTACTCCTTCCTCTGCCTCAGCTGCTTGTTGTCACCGGAGAAACAACTGAAAAAGATAGAAAAGAAAGGAGCTGGGCGGAGATCGAGGAGGTGCGGCGGCGGCGGCGGCGGATCAGTAGGGAGCTAATCTGGCACACACAAGTTTTTTTAAAGACCTCAAAATCTACGATACACGTCGGTGGATGGTGTTTTTTGGGCCTTTATAGCTGTGTGGGACTCTGATTGATTACTACTCTCCTCTCTCTGTCGAAATGAATGGTTTGTTTTCCCCATTTTTATATATTACCGGACATGATGACTCTTCTTTCATTCTTTTTTTTACCGCTTCCTAGTCCTCCTTTGAAGCTTCTTACTGACTCAGAGGGTCTCTGGATACAGCTGGTTCCCTCTTAATCATTGAGAGGCTACCTACTTCACCTGGCCCGCTTCTTCTATTTCACGTTTGTTGAATTGTGTGATTCGGTTCGGTTCTGTAATTTCATGCTTACCGGACTCGTCCAAACGCTGCGTTTCTTCTAAGTGTGGAATTTGGTGGCTTGTAGATTGTACTGATTAGGCAAAGCTTACTATAATTAGCTATGTATATGGAAACATTCAAGGAAACCGAGTAGGATACATAGACATCATAATCACAATAAGCAAAGAGAGACAAACACAGCAACTAATATAGATTTGGTCCAACACATCGACAAAAGGCAGAACTACAAATTTTGAACTAGGAAGAGTGAAGTCTCCCTTCTTCCACAAGTTATGGCTCCATTCTTGACCTAATAACTTCTGAATCCAAACACCTAATTTCGTAATCTTGATAATAACGGGAAATTATCATCTGCCTTGTTTATTATGAATTTAACGGTAGACTTCTAATACACCACTCGTGCTTAATCAATCATTTGAGTTTGCGTGCGACCATCACCGAGTTCACAAAGCCATCAGACATAGATGGGTGATAAATTGCTAAGATCTCGAAGCCTTTTAGATCACAAGGATCAACATCTACATATAGGAACGATCTAAGGCCTCGTGCACTCCTAAGCATGAGCAGAGCTCGAGGAGCCATGTGACTCTCCAAATGTTTAATGACTTCGACTTTGGCTTCTTTGTCCACCCCAACAAGAGATGCCAAGAAAACGACATCGTAGTCACGTAGAATCTCCGTGGCGTCAAGTATATCCGTTGTGTGAAAGATCATGCGATTGGAAAGGTCGGGATCGCGTGAGACAAGGCGGGAAGCAAGGGAATTGGCTTCAGGGTCGATGTCGATGTTGTGAAACGTCGTGTTTGGGAGGTGAAACTTAGCCAAGACGATGGATGTGAAGGGCATCGAACCGGAACCCACGAAAGCGATCTTGGTCGGGACATGGCTCGTGTGTTGCGTGAGGAGATCGAACTCGACCTTACTGAGGTCGAGGTAGTTGGTGTAGTAAGGATAGAGATCTAAATGGTGAAGTGGGTTGTCTTCGAGAGATCCTAAGACCTTGGAGAAGTGTTGCTCCGAATATCCTACGGCTTCACTACGTAGCTTGATGAGATTGGTTCTGATGGCTTGGACTTTTGGGCACATCTTCTTGACATCGATGTCTGTCTCCGTCGGCAAGCACGTGGACATGAGCTGTCGGAACAAGGTGTCGACATTTTTGCAAGGTTTAAGGCTCTTGAGTTTAGATATTTGGTCGTACAGGTCAATAATTTGCTTCTCGAATATTGGAATCTCTTGGCAAGCCATCTCGTCGACCCTATAAGATATATTCTGACCTGGTTTAAGGACCTTCAAGACCTCTCTGTATATATAGTGTGGATCTTTAACCCTCACAAGGGAGTAGTACTAGTATTTATCGGCACGTGCAAGTCCCTTTCTTTTTGCATCGATTAAATGAAAAGTTTCTAAATTAACCAACTTGCATGCATCACCTATAAAATAATTTTGAATTATATAGTTGGAATCTCAACCCTGGGACATAGTTTATTCTTTTAATACTAGAATCTTTGGATCAACCAGAGAACTAAATTGCTGTTAAATCTCAACCAGTTTAATTACTTTCTTCGTTTTTCTTTTGTTCGCAAAAAGAATACTAGGAGTATATTCCAAGTATGGATGCTATATCGCCATATCGACGTTCACATGAATACATGTTTAGTTATTGAGAAAATGACAAATAAATCCACCAACTCTTTGGACCAACCAATACATTAAAACGTTGATCTCAACCAATTTAGCTTCCTCGTCCTTTTTTGTTCTTGGCGAAAAATAGACATACTCTATATACATGTATGGTACATATATATATATATATATATATATATATATATATATATATATATACTACTACTA